GGAAATACAAGGAATGTGAGAGGTGGTGCGGAGCTTCCATGCCTTCCTGGGGAACCCTCCAGGAACCTCCACCTGTTCAGACACCCAGCAGCTCCTCAAACCTGTCCTTCTGAGTTTTATGGTGGCTTCATTACACAGGCAAGACTGATTACACTACGGGCCCTTGGTGACCAACTTAACCTTTAGTCTTTCTTCCCTGCCCAGAGGTTGGAGGGTAGAGTTGGAAGTCCCAACTGTCTAGTTCTGCCTTGGTCTTTCTGGTTATTAACCCCATTCGGAAGCTACCCAGGGGCTGCCAGCCACCAGCCATCTCATTAGCATACAAAAGACATGTAAAAGAAAAAGGGTATGGTGGCTCACACCTGTAATCCCAGCACTTTGGGAGGCTGAAGCGGGAAGATCACTTCAGGTCAGTAGTTCAAGACCAGCCTGGTCAAAATGGAGAAACACCACTGTAAGGTTTATTGCCGAGTTAAATGAGGAAACAGAGACTGGAGTAAAAAAGTAAAAGCCAATTTATTCAGCTCCCGGGCGAGGTTCTATGGTCCGGGAAAGGGGCTAGAGAAGCTGTGCTTCTCTTCTTAGGGCATGGGGTTGTATAGGGAGTGGAGGTAGTTGATTGGCTGTGGGGGAAACAAAGTGGAGGTAGTCTCATTGGTTATGAAGGGACTGGGCATGGACGAGGCGAGCCGCCATTGGCAGCCAGGCGGGGCTGCTGGCAAGTGGGCTGGCTGAGGACGTACGGGGCAAGCTGCCATAGAGCAGGTCTTGGTGGGATTTTTAAATTTCGGTGGGATTTTTAAATTTCGGTGGGGTTGAGTGCCTAATTTGCTGATGAGTACAGGACTGAGATGGGAATGCGGAAATGGGTGTGGGGAGCCCGTGAGGAGAGGCCAGATGCTGAGTAATGCACTCAGAATGATGTAGTTTTCAGATACGGAGAGGAATGGGTATGTCCATTCGGCCCCCGGTGAGACAACCGGCCTTACAACCACCTCCACTAAAAATATAAAAATTAGCACATGCCTATAATCCCAGCTACTCAGGATGCTGAGGCAGGAGAATCGCTTGAACCTGGGAGGCAGAGGTTGCAGTGAGCCAAAATCACACCACTGCACTCCAGCCTGGGTGACAGAGCAACACTCCATCTCAAAAACAACAACAAAATCTCCAGATCCCAAAATCACTAAGCCAAAGGGAAGTAAAGCTGGGAACTGCTTCAGGCAAACATGCCTCCCATTACTGAACACATACCTCCCTCGTAATTTTCCCACAATGAAATTCTTTTTGGACAAAGGACACACAGAATTAATGAGATAAAAGCATATCTGATTGCTTCCTCTGCCCTATTTCACTAAGCCAGACTAAGGCATAAGTGACTACTCCTCTACCCTCCTCTCACATGTAAACTGCATGTTCAGTGAAAGGCTAATCAGACTCAAAGGAATGCAACTATTTGTCTCTTATCTACCTATGACCGGGAAGCCCCCTCCGTCACTTCAAGTTGTCCCACCTTTCCGGACCAAACCAATGTACATATCACATATATTGGCTGATGTCTCATGTTTCCCAAAACCACATAAAACCTAGCTGTGCCCCAACTACCTTGGGCACATGTCAGGACCTCCTGAGGCTGTGTCATGGGTCTGTCCTTGGCCTTGGCAAAATAAACTTTCTAAATTGACTGAGACTTGTCTGTTATTTCGAGTTCACCGACATCACTGAAAATTCTAAGATTTCAAGAGTTGTATGCCAGGAAACAGGTCAAAGGCTAAAGAGACATTTCTCAATAGCACAATCTTGGATTGCCCAAGTGGGTTCAACTTAAATATAAGGGTCCTCTTTATAAAAGGGCGGCAGAAGGATCAGAGTCAGAGAGAAAAAGAAATTGCAAGATGGAAGCTATGCTGCTGGCCTTGCAGAGGAAGGAACACCTGCTGAGGTAGCTTTGCCGTTCAGAACTGTAAGAGAATAAATGAGTATACTTGGAAGCCATTAAGTTTGTGGCAATTTGTCACAGCAGCAAGAGAAAATGAACAGACTGACCCTTCCACCATGTCCTTCCAGTCCTCATGCCCAATGTATGGGTTTCTTTTGCTCTGTCAGTGACCTGGTGCTGAAAACATTCTGGGGAATCACAGGGCTAGGGTGAGATGAAGAGGTCGGCTGGTGATTGCTGAAGCCGGCCTGAGAGCCCACTCCTTTCAGCCCTGCCTGCCTCCCTCTTGCAGATGCGTGCGTGTGCACACACATGCACACACACACGCACACACACACACACACATGCACACACGCACACACATGCACACACACATGCACACACGCACACGCACACACGCACGCACACACACGCACACACACATGCACACACACATGCACGCACACGTGCACGCACGCACACATGCACACATGCGCACACACATGCACACACACATGCACACACGCACGCACACACATGCACACACACACGCACACACACGTGCACACACACGTGCATGCACACACACATGCACACACACACACACACGCACACACACACGTGTATGCGCATCCAGACCTCCCTCATGCTGAGGAAACTCAGGAGCCTACCTTGTTTTTAGCCAGGGTCAAAGGGAAGGGCGAGGCGGCTCCTTACAGTTTCCCATTCCTTTTCCTGGTAAACACATCATTCTGGGGTCAAACCCCCTGAGAGTGACAAGTGTTCCTATCAGCTGTGTTACCCTGAGCAAGCCACTGAACCTCCCTGTGCCACAATTTCCCCACCTCTCAATTGGGGACAATATAAAGCCTACTTCTGGAGGGAGTTGTAAGCATGAAGAGTCAAATTCGGGTCCCACACCCCCACCCCCATGCCAGGGCCTCCCTGCTAGTCCCTGAACGGGCTGCCACAGCCCCACCTCACTTCCTTCAGTCTGCTCAAACCTCACCTTCTCAGCAAACCTCACTACCCATTCCATTGAGTAACGCAAGCTGCCCCACCCCACCTACCTCTCACAGCTGGTTAGATAGTTCTTTTTTCAGTAGCTCTTATCATGGTGTAATACCGTACAGAATTTGCTTACTTGCTATGTCTAGTGCTAACTGTCAGCCACCCTGAGGACAGGAGTCTCTGTATTCCAAGTGCCTTAGAGCAGCATCGAGCACACAGAAAGGGCTTAAGTGTTTGCTAAGTGAATGACTGAATGGCTCTGTCATAAATAGTAACTTCCTTTACCAACACATTTTCAAGGAGCCTTCCCTCAGCCCCTAAACCGGGTAAGCGTGTCTTTCACACGTATCAGTATGACTTCTTCACAGGGGAAACACATCCTACTGTGAGCACATTTGCCTTTCGGCTTCACCTCTTGTCCTCCACCAGACAATGAGCTGACCAATGGTCTCAAGTGTGCAGCTGTGTGACCTTGGGTAAGTTACTGAACCTTGCTGAGTCTTTAACCTCCCTCCTTTACCTTCACAGAAGGAGGGCAGAGGGCTGCTGGGTGAGATGAGATCATAGGAGTCACCGCTGCATTAAGGTGAACTGTATTTTCATCTTGCTGCTGAGGTCACAAGTGCCAGGTGGGGTCAGTTCTGTGGGTCACATGTACTGTCCTTTGCCCATGTGCTCAGGTGTGTGTGTTGAATGTGCTCAGTGCCTGGGTGGCGACATCACCTCCTCAGTTAAGAATGATGGGAATGAAAGCCGTCCTGGATCCTTTATATGCATCACACCATCCCCTTTAGCTTTTAATGGCAAACCAACCACCCAGCGTTCCTATTTTGCATGGCGGGGATGAGAGAAGGTCGATAACCTGCCTGTTGCCACAGAGCTGTAACTGATGGAGCCTGGATTTGAGGCCCTATCCACAAGCTGCACACTCTGCACTCTCATACAGGGCAGAAGTCTACTATCCACCTGGCAGGGTACGGGAGGTGTCAGTGTGGCAAAATCCTTCCTGAAACATCCCCATAGGTATGTTTCCGTCACAGTAGAGTGGCCATAGGAGTTAGGGAAAATTTGAGCACATGATGTTAAGACTGAGGAGTGAGGGCTTGGTGACAAACTGAGTAGACTGGCCTTTGATTCTGACTTTTCTGAGTGAGGCTTCCTTGGTACAGAGATGGGGACCAAGGGATCTGCCCTGAATCCTGGACACCTGAATTCTGGGCTTTGCTGGACCTCAGGACAGTGGCGTGCTGGGAATGTTTAACAAGCAGGTTGCGGCAGGGGTGATTTATAGCGTAGACTAACTTCCATGGAGTAAATACCCTGCTATGGTTTGGATCTGGGTCCCCATCCACATCTCATGTTCAATTGTCATCCCGAATGTTGGAGGTGGGATCTGGTGGGAGGTCACTGGATCATGGGGGTGGATTCTTCATGACTGGTTGAGCATGCTTTAGTGCTGTTCTCATGATAGAGTTCTCGCGAGATCTGGTTGTTTAAAAGTGTGTAGCCCCAGCCTCCTTCCTCTTTCTCCCGCTCTAGCCATGGAAGGCAACTCCTCCCACTTCACCTTCTGCCATGAGTGGAAGTTTCCTGAGGCCTCCCTGGAAGCTGCTATGCATCCTGTACAGCTTGCAGAACTGTGAGCCAATTAAACTTCTTTTCTTTATAAATGACCAGTCTCAGGTATTTCTTTATAGCAGTGTGAGAATGGACTAATACATACTCCCACCACAGCAAGGTGTAAGCTATTGAACTGATGTCACTTGGCATGGGGCTGGGAAGAGCTGTGTACAACGGCCTGGGTGAGCCGGCTCCAGCATACCACTGCTGCAGGGCCTTTAAGAACAAAGCACTATTCTTTGCCTTGGGATTCTCAAACTTTGGGCAGATATCCCTGAACAGGAGAGGAAGACTGATGCCTATTTCTGTGTTTTGAGATATATCCCACAGCAGCTGCCCATAACAGAAAACTCTTTTGATTTCTTGTTTTGAAACATGTTCATTTTTGCATACTACTTCATAATAAATCTGGGTTTGTGTTAATGTAAAAATCATGTTTTAAATGACTTACCAGATAAGCAGATCACTTGGCTTTCCCCTTCCAATTCCTTAAGTAAAATGAATTGTTCCAGAGAGTTGTAAAGCTTTCATGCTGCAGTTTTCACATTGTTCAAGGGTCAAACCAATGAAGACTGAGGCCCACTAAAAAGGCTGAGGATAGAATTCTTATCCAGTGCTAGAGGAGAGAAATTGGAATAACCTCAATGGAGGGCAATTTGGCAATGTCTTTAAGACCAAAGATACACATTCTTTATCCCTGTTGCATACTCTTTAATCCAGCAAGCTTATTTGCTGTACATGTCTTCAGACATCTTTGTATATGTGCAAAATGAGAGACACACAGGGGTGTTCACTGCGGCAGAGTTTATAGAAAGAGGCAGTGCATTCCCTTGGGTAAGGGGGTGGGTCTGCAGCAAGCTGTCTTGGTGTAATATTTACCTCTGCCATCCGCTATCTGTGCGGACTTAGATACTCTGGGTGTCCTCTCCAGGCCTGAGCTTCCTCATCCGTCAGGTGAGACAAAACACAGCAATGATTGTGCGGGGTTGCGGTGAAGAGTAAATCGGTCAAAATACACAACACATTTAAGGTAGCGCCAGGAAGCAGGGCCAATGCTAAGAATATTATTACTTTACTATTACTACCACTATCAGGAGATTGGAAACAACCTAAAGGCCCATCAATAGGAAAATGGCTAAGTGATTATTACACGCATATAATCAACGCCACATATTAAAAGGAACAAAGTCACACCATATTAGTGGTTCCTAATTGGGAGTAATTTTGCCCCCCAGGGGAAATCGCAATGTCTGGGGCTACTTTTGGTTGTCACATCTGGGAGGTGGGGTGTCGCTGGCCTCTAGTGAGTGGAGGCCAGGGAAGCTGGTCACCATCCTGCAATGCACAGGCCAGCCCTCCAGAGCAGAGAACGAGCTGGCTCAAAACCTCAGCTGCACCAGGGCTGAAAAACCTCCAAGGTAAAATGGTATAAGGGGGAAAATACAGAAAAGCCATTTAGAAAAAAGCAAAATAGAGTATACAAATATATGAGTTTGAAAAGCCTCCGGAAGGATAAACACAAAGTTCCTAGCAGTAACTGTCCGTAAAGAAAGGAAGCAGGTTGCATGCGTGGGAAATCCAAAACCTGCTTTCTTCTCTCTATGCTTTGGCATTCCGTGTCATGAACATATAATTACATCTTCAAAACAACAAATGAAGCAAAATAAGGCTGGGTTGCACATACCACATCAAGGCAGGGCTATAAACTTGGCTCATCTTCTGAGTCCCTGACGATAGATGGGAAAGGGCTTTGAAAGGCACGAAGCTATGTCCTCCTGAGGTAAGGATGGCTGGAACCTGGATAGGAACATGCTTGAAAGAGTTACTGGAGAGTGGCTGTGGCCTCCCTGGAGGCAAATAACTGAGGGGCTTTCCCCTCCTGCCCCGACACCCCTCTGAGCCTGCGGGGCTGTGCTGGGTACTGAATTGAGGGAAGGTCCTGATATACTGAAAAGCAGCCATTAAAGGCACTGCCACAGCCTCGTTGTCTCCTTTGGGCCAGTCAGCTTCTGCTGTACCAGCCGTCAAACATTCAAAGATCACCCCCGGTCTGAACCTGCCAGCCCCAGAGGCCAGGGACGTATGTAGGCAATATCTCCAAAGACCTCGGCACAGCCGTTACGGGAAGAACACAGGCTGTGCACATGCATGTCTCGCCTGCCATTTCTCCACTTTGCCTGGGAACAGATTAGATTTCCTCACTTAAAGGATAGGGCTAGGAGCACCCCTACTCTGAGGACTGTTTCCGACAACATATCCAAGCAGAGGTCACTCGCATCCTCCCCCTGACTCCTCCAAATCAATTTGTCTCATTCCCAAAGGCCCCAAAGGAGCCTGGGCTGCAGGCACTGAGCTGTAGCTCTCAACCGTGTGCGTACACTACTCTCTTGGGAGCTTTCTGATCAATAGTGACGGCTGACGGCAGCACGCTATGCCAGACCAATTAAATCAGCATCTCTGGGGATGGAGGCTGAGCCACTTGCTTGTTTGTTTTTTAAATAAAGCATTCCAGGTTGACAGTAACGTGAAGCCACAGTGTAGAATAATGCCTGAGTCTCAGAGTCTCAACCACGGGGCTGGAGATCTGACCTGTTTCTGTTCAAGTCCAGACCTCAAGGAAGAGAAGAGTCTTTGCTCAGATCAAAGTCAAACTCTTCGATTCGCTAATCCAGGGATTCCCAAGGGTCACTGCTGGTGGCCATTCCTGGCTCTGGAGTTGAGCAAGATGCCCATGGGAAACCTGGATATTGACTCTGAAAAGAGCACCTGCCAACACCCTGTAATCCTTTTACCCTGCTTTACTTTTCAAAATACCTATCAGCACCTATTATAGACATTATTGTTGCCACTCCTACTAAATGCAATCTCCAGCTAAGTAAGAACCTTGCCTGTTTTGCTGAGAGACTGGCACAGCGCCCAATCCAAGGTAGGCGCTCGATGGCTGAATGAATAAACGCATCTCAGAGCTTACCTGGGCTGCAGGCCATGGACACCTTTCTTCTCATCTCAGAACGCTATCCCTTTATCATCTTATCTCAGAACGCTATCCCTTTATCATCTCTTCCCTCCCTGCCTTTCCAGGATCCCTTGCTCTTCTCCCTATCATCATGCCTCAGGTCTGTCCATGGTGCACCTGCACCACGGTCCCCTCAATCAGAGTAATTTTGCCTCTGCAGGGGATACCTGACAGTGTCTGGAGACACTTTTTTTGTTTGTCACAAGCCTGAGGGAGGTGCGGTGTGCTATTGACATGGTAAATAGAGCCCAGGGTTGCTGTACAACATCCTATAATACACAGAATAGCACCCCCTCCCACCACCCAACAAAAAAACTATCTAGCCCCAAACATCCTAGAGCCAACGCTGAGAAACACTGGTCTGGACAGAAACATTTCCAGACCCCTGTGTTATATGGAAACATCCCTTAGGCCCTGACACTTCAAAGTTCTATTCTTAACCCCATGTACTCCCTAAGGACATCTCCATCAGGAAGATCCTTTGGTCCTGACCCCACCTCCTCCATCCTAATGCTGCCCTCCCAGGACCCTGACTACACAATTCCGAACGTAAGCCCTGATCTAGACGTCCAAGTTCTTTTACAGCTGGACCTGAAATCTTTACTCTGGGATTCATCCTTTTGCTTTTCTACACGGATTTTATTCTCCAAGTGTGGGATTCTTAGGCTAATAATAAAACGATGGCCATTTATGCAGCACTTCCTTGTGCCAAGTTCTACTTAAGGTCACCATAAACCTGAGGTTGGCTCTGTTATTCCTACTGTTTTACAGGTGAATCTGAGGGGTGGTGGATTGAAGTGAGCTCTCCCAGTCAGTCACACAGCTAGCCAGTGCTGAAACCAGAAGTCAACACCAGACAGTGGGGCGCCAGTCTATGCTCTTAATTTTCCAAGCTATCCTTGTGGGAAGGGGACGCAACCATTTGCAGCTTCAGAGGAGGGTTCTGTCCTCCCATTGAAATGCAAACATGCAGAAAACAGATGATGCAGGTGCTTGGCAAGGGCAGCGCACCACTGCTCAACCGGACATGGTCAGATGCCCTGGTATGAGGACCAAGACCACCCAGTCCCGAGTTCAGAGATGCAGACTCCCCCAGGATTCACCACTACCTCTGCCTCTGGATGGGGTCAGAGAAAAATGACCACCAGCACTATAACCAACACCTTAACTCGGTGATTAGTATGTGACAAGCTCTGTGCAGGGTGTTTCAGCTATGTCACCCTGTTTCATCCTCCATTAACACCCAGGCAAGTGCTATTAACATGCTATTTTATCAAGTAGGAAAGTCATTACAATGAAACAGAGTCACAGATTTCCAGAGCAGCCTGTCACACCTTCCAGCTGCTCAGAATTCTCCCCAGGAGGGCCTTCATTTCCATGGTGACGGTAAGATGTACACCAGAATGGCACCATCACACAGTCACACACTCACAACCGCAAAGCCACTGAGGCTAAGTGGCAGACACCCAGGCAAATCACACAGTAACCCCAGGATACAATAAACGGCTAGGTCAGCGTGACACACACACACACACACACACACACACACACTCACTCTCCAGCAGCAGAAATCTTCACACCCAGCGTTACACACCCACGTCTGGCTTCCCACAGGCTCCATTGTTTCCTTCGCGTGGGTCACGCAGCGATACACACCCGCACTCCCGACACAGACCCCTCACACACCTGCACACACGGCTCGTCTCACACGCGGCGCCCACGTCACCCTCAGGCGCACAAACCCCGAGAGCCACAGCGGCGCAACGGCGCAAACCCCACGCAGTCGCGGGCCCACCACCCACGCAAGCACCCGCGCAGACGCCCATGCCATCGCGGACTCGCAAACCCACGCGCGCCCGGTCTGGGACGTCCACGCAGTAGCCCACGCTCTCAAAGAGACACACTCAGACTCTCACCAGGCCCCTCACCTCGGTCTTCTCGGGCTCCGACCCCAGCGGCGACCACCGTGACAGCAGCGCAGGGACCCCGCGCCTGCGCACTCCCCTCCGGGACCCCGGGACCGCGCACCGCACCCCGCTCCACACGCGCACCACGCAGGTGGGCGCGTGGCCCCGCCCCCAAACAAGGCCACGCGGCGCGCGCTCTCCTGCCTCTTGGGGACAGTTCCACCAGACTCGGCCTGAGGCCCCGCCCCCTCAGCGCCACGCGCACAGGCGCGCTCGCGCATTCGGTGCAGTCCTTGGCGCGGGCGCGCGAGGCCCTGCGCCTGCGCACACCCCCGAGGTTGGCACGCGTACCGGGCTCCTTGGCGACCGACGCCCGACTGTCTTTTAACCTTTCAGGATATCACGTGTGGACAGCGAGGCCCTACCTCCCCAGTTCGCCCCCTTCCCCGCTCCCACACCTACCCGTTCCCGTGTGAGGGGTTATTGTCCCCCGCCCGCCACCGCCCTTCGCCTCCACATTTACGAGGTTTGGAGCCGGCCTCACCCGCGCGTGCGCACTACGGAATCATCGTGCAAAATCTAGCCTCCGGGGTGCAAGGAGGCTGTGGAAGGTCCCACCCAGAACGTGAGGTGAAGAGGGCTTGGGCTGCGCTGGTTTTGATCTGTGCGGGTCTGAGATGAACTGACCCGGGAGAGTAGCGTAGGGATGTTTCTTTCGGCTAAGAGTGGGGACTCACCCGCATCTTCTGCGAAGAGACCCACAGCCCTTTGCGTGGCGCCCGGACTTCATTTCCCAAAGGCCTCTGCGTGGCCTGTGGAGGCTGGTCGGTGCGCTGCTGCGCCTGCGCAGCCGGCGGGCTGTTGGTGAGACCGCGGCGGAGACGGGGGCGGTGAGGCTGACCCGGGCGGGGAGAAGGGGATGGGAGGGAAGAAGCGGAGAGGAGGGGAGAAGCGCGGAGGAGTGAGCGGAAGGTCCGGGGGCGTCCGCCGTAGAGTTGTGTGAGGTGACCGTTGCGTGATTTTGAGTCTGTGACAGAAGGTGTGAAGTGTGGCCTCGTCCGGGTCATCGGGGCGTTTGGGTGCCGGGTTTTGATCGCGCCGTTGTGTAGATGAGACCCACAGTGTGTGACCCTGAATACGTGTTAGGACGAACCGTGGTGTTTCCTTCTACGTGTGTCGCTCAGCGGGTTTTCGTGGTTTCATGCGTGGTGGAGGACACTGACTGTGAGTGTGTGTGCTCGTGGACGTTTGCTGCGCTTCTCCATCGGCTTTTGCTGAAGGGCAGAGTTGAGTAGGTGGAACACGTGCTGTGTGTGGCCGCCGAAAGCCGGAAGTGTTTACTGTCGGCTCTAGAGCCCAGTGTTTGCGGTGTGTACATCTCTGTGGGGAACCACGGACTTCGCATGTGTATGATTGTGTATATTTACGTATATTCTATGGCTGCTTTTGCACAATGGCGGGGTTCAGTGCTTGTAGCCCGTGAAGCTTAAAATACTATCCGACTGACCCTTTGGAGCCTGGTTTTTGTGCTTGAGTGTTGTGTGTTGGGGGGGAAGCCAGTGTTTTTTTTGAGTGTGTGTGTGGGTACCCGCCCCCCCCCCCCGTATGTTGAGACCCAGTTTTTCTGATTATATAGGTGGGTATACGTGTAAGGAGAATCCAGGGCTTGTGATTTCTCCCAGGTGACTCTTGAACAAGTTTTGGGAACTAGGTAGTAGGGAGAATGTGTGAGGGACTAGTTCTGGTTTCCCATTTTTGTGACTAGTAGGGGTAATAATAAAAATACAAGCTAACAGATACCACTGCTAGGACTTCTGCCATTCCCTCTGTGACTGGCAGCCAGCACTTACTGATGGCTGTCCCTGGTCAAAAGTGAATTTTTCCATTTAAGGTTTTCTTTGATCCTGTAGGCCGTCCTCTGAGTTGTTCCCTGGAGCAAGTTTCTTTCTACACTGGAGATTGTTCTGAACACCTGGTGATACTAGAATAAGGGGTGTGGTCAAGAGAGTCAAGAAAGCTTAGGAGAAATCTGTCACTTGGCAGTGTTTCTTTTCTTTAAACCACCTCCCAAGAATGTGTGTCTTTCTTTCTGCTGTTTTAGGGGCGCTTTGGTGCGAGAATCTGGGAAGTCCTGGACTGAGGGAAAAAGCTTTATGCCTCAAGACTGCATGTCCTAGTTCAGAGAAACTATAGTGCGAGGGTCAGATGTCTTGGATCCTGATCAGGCTCTGCTGTGCCTATTCTCTGAATGAAGCAACTATCTCCCAAGACACCCATGAGCTTTCTAAGATAGAACCTTCGTCCCCGAGTCCAGGTCCAGAATCCAGTCCTGGCATTGGATTTGGTCAGACCTACCCTCACTCTTACCCCATGGCTCCCCTCCCCCTCCCCTCTGCCCGAGGTACCCACGGGAATTACAGGTACAAATTCAATACCTGACTCCATAATAGCTCCACAGTATCTGGAATCCTATTATGACAACGTGTTTGTGTTTGAAAAATGAGGGAAAGGAGAGTAGGGGAAGAAAGGGTTTCTGAGCCGATCTTGAGGACTACAGGGCAGATTTGGCTCTTATAGTTCCTTTCTTTCTCCCTAACTTTCAAGATGGTATTGTGGCCACATCTGTGGAATGCTGGAGTCGTTTCCTATTTACAGATAACAAAAAAAATGCATATTGTTAGGCAGGATAGAATCAATTTAGGGAAAAAAATAACAAGGAAAGTTTTAGGAAAAAAGTAGTATTTAGGAGGGTTGAAGTCATTAGATGAAGAAAATATGCTCTTTTAAGTAGAATATATCTGCATTGTGGTTTTTTAAAAAAGCTTTCAGAAGAGTAAATGGTAAGAAGTGCTGCCACCTTGATCCAGTTCTCTCCCTAAAGCTAATTAACTTTTCATTGTGAAATCATTGTAAACTCACAGGAAGTTGCAAAAATAGTACCTTTCGCCCAGCTTGTCCCAGTGGCGACATTCTACATGCCAGTGGTATAATATCAAACCGAGAGGTTGATGCTGGAACAGTACTGACGACTAGACCACAGACCTTGTTCACATTTTACCACTTTTAACATGTACTCGTTCATTTTATTCGCTTTTTGCCATTATTACACTCAAGATACTGAATCCCCTAATCCAGGAATAGGATGTGTATTTCAATTCATTCAGGCCTCTTAAGTCCATGGGTAGGGTTTTCAAGTTGTCATAAAGGTCTTGTTAAGTATATTACTAGATTTTTTCTTCTTTGTTATTGTAAATGGTGTCATTTTACTCTTCCTATTTTCTGTATATTTTGTGTGGTGTATTTATTAGTCTTTTCTCACATTGCTACAAAGAAATACCTGAGACTGGGGAGTTTATAAAGAAAAGAGGTATCATTGGCTCATAGTTTTGCAGGCCATGTAGGAAGCATAGGAGTGGCTTCTGCTTTTGGGGAGACCACAGGAAATTTCTGACGGTGGGAATGCAAAGGGGGAGTGAGGAGTCTCACATGGCAGGACCACAAGCAAGAGAAATGTGCTACATACTTTTAAATGACTAGATCTCACAAGAACAAACTAACCTGAAGGCAGTACCAAGGGGATGGTGCTAAACCATTCTTGAGAAACCAACCCCTTGATCCAGTCACCCCCCACCAGGCCCCACCTCCAACACTGGCGACTCCAATTCAACATGAGATTTGATGAGGATGCAGATCCAAACCATATCAGTGTATTACTTATTTTTTTGGTTCATATAATATTGCTTTATGTAAACATAACATTACTTATTTAACTCTTACTGTCACATAGGTTTTTTTGCCTTAATTTTGGCTATTATAACCAATGCTATCCTGATACATTTTTCAGCTGATTTTCACACTCATCTGTAATCATTTCCTTAGGATCCATTTCTGTATATTTTTCTTTCCAATTATGTTGGAGCATTTTAAACTTAGTTGATCTCCCACTATTTAAAAAATTACACCATTTGGATGGAACACTAAGTAGCCTGTAATGTTTGCCTACTGTGTGATCTAAGTACTGTAGGAAATCATCACTTTAAATTCATATGCTCTTAAAAACACACCTAACAAAAAATGATACGCTTGAAAATGGACTTTTTTAGTGTAGCTGCAAATTCTACCAAGATAAAGTGGGTTACATAAAGCTGTTTTTCTCTCTTTGGCAGTAAAATATGACTCAAACTTGCTAACTTTCTTCCCTGTGATGTATTGGTTGGCTCCAACTGCTATAATGAAGTACCACAGACTTGGTGGCGTAAACAACAGAAATTGGTGGTATCTTCATATCATTTTCCCCTATGCTTGTCTCTGTGTGCAAATTTCACCTTGAAAACTTTTCCTTTTAATTGTTATAATTTTCTTATTTTTAATTTTTGTGTATACACAGTAGGTGTATATATTTATGGGGCACATGAAATTTTTTGAGAAGTTTCCTTTTTTTTAATAACGATACTAGTTAGAATAGATTGGAGTCTACCCTGATGACCTCATTTTGATGTAACTAACTTATGTCTGCGGCAACCAAGTCAAGTCACATTCTGAGGTATAGGAGAGGGGGTTAGGCCTTCAGCATGAGAATTTGTGGAGACATGTTTTAATCTATACACATGAGAAAAATGTCTCCATTTTATGTCTTCTTAATATGGTGTTGCTAAAACATAATCCTGTTTTATGTAGCATCAAATGTTAAGTTTATGTTTTTTGGTTTGTTTTGGCTAAGACAGGTTCCATGTGAGGAGAGGCATTTTAAAACATATCCTGATTTTTTAAAAATCACATATGGTAAGATGACAGACATGGGGGCAACTGCCTTTGCAAAAATAGTTTATTACTCCCATTTTCCAGCAGAAGGGAGCATGTCACACCATACAGGGCAGCATGGGAAGTGTCAAAATTTGGTCAGGAGGCAGGGGTGCCTACAGAGAAAGGAAAAAGCCCAGACCCAGACCCTTTATCATGTTTTCTCTAGGAGAGGCAAAGCCAGGCTGGGGAAACAATTTAGGGTTGTCTAGTTGAAATAATGTTGCCAGGCTCCAGGCTGTCGGGGTGGTCTCTGGTTGCCTGGTCCCCAGGTTGGTTTAGGGCAGGGGAAATAGTGGTTAGTCTATGGGAGTTAGATGAAGATGGTAATTGGGGATATGAGCCATGGATTGGTTGGTTGCATATAAATGGCATGTTTCTGGGCAAGTTGTTTACTGCCTTTAAGAATTAGCTGGCTGTAGGAGGGGCCCTCCCCAGCCAACTGCAGCTAGCTCCCCTACTCCAATATGTTGGAGCATAATAAAATATACAAAATAAAAACATTAAAATAAGAGGCAGGACACGAAAGATTACGTATCATGTGGTTCCACTTATATTCAGTCTCTAGAATAAGCAAGCCCATAGATACAGAGAGCAGATTGCTATTTGCTTTGTGTTAGAGGAATGGGTGATGAGGAGGGGGTGGCTAACGGTTATGGGGTTTCTTTTTGACACGATAAAAGTATTCTAAAATTGACTGTCAGTTACACGTCTATGAATACACTAAAAGTTACTGATCTTTACATTTTGTATGGACGAATTATGGTTTATTACTATATCTCAATAGAACTATTTTTTTTAAAGATACAGTAGTGGGGTCAGAAGTCAAAGTGAAGTAGATGACGTTTTTCTTTCCTATTCAGGAATCAGTCGAATGATGAAGATCCTTAGTCTGATCCACTCCAGGAGAGATCTCAGCTGGTTCCCGTCTGTTGCCATTTGGAATATTAAATAGTTTGTGAAGGATAGAAACTAAGTCTGTACAAGAAGGTATAGAGTCAGAATGGCCACGCTTCTACACCTGCCTCCTCCCCACTCAGTTCTTCCCCAGGTCATTCTTCAGTTCCAAGGCCAAGGTAAGCTAACAGTGGAATATAAGTATGGACTATTTTTCTGTCTGTCCTGAATGCCAGCACTTCAGGAGTAGTTAAAATGTGATTCAGTAACATGAGAATATTAGAAAACCTGGTTGTAGGCTACAATGTCATATACTAGATAATATCCTTGGTGTTACCCTAGAGAATACCCAGTCTTCATGAGTTAAATACATCTCTGCTGCACCTACTGTGAAATACTGGACGTCGAGTTGCCCATGTGGGAAGCAGCTGAATTAGAAATCACCACCTACAAGTTAGAGGAAATATAGATTTGATGCTTGCTTTTTTTTGTTGTTGTTGTTGTTGAGACAGAATTTTTCCCTTGTCGCCCAGGCTGGAGTGCAATGGCACAATCTCAGTTCACTACAACCTCCGCCTCCCGGGTTCAAGCAATTCTCCTGCCTCAGCCTCCTTAGTAGCTGGGATTACAGGTGTGTGCCTGGCTAATTTTGTATTTTCAGTAGAGACGGGGGTTTCACCATGTTGGTCAGACTGGTCTCAAACTCCTGACCTCAAGTGAGCCACCCACCTCGGCCTCCCAAAGTGCTGGGATTACAGGTGTGAGCCAGTGCACACAGCCGATGCTTCCTTTTAAACACAGTTGGCTTTTTCCCGTCATCATATCATCTGCATGTCTATGTAGGACATGTCTTTCCAGGCGGTGTCACAGGCCTCTGATGCATCATCTGAGTAGGTCTAAAAGGAAGCTCTAACGTGGAGTGTCCCTGGGCCTATAAGTGTAAATTCAGACTCTCCTTGGATCATATTTTAAATCCCAGGGTACAAAAGACATTAAATTGCATGAACCTCTTCAAGCTTATCTTATGCATTAGTGTAGCTGATAAATTAGCAGTGTATTCTCGTATCATAGTGCATTATCTTAGCTGTATTTCTGTTATTGACTGGATTGTGTCCTCCCCAGGAATTCATATGTTGAAGCCATAACCCCAAGTGTTACTGTATGTGGAAAAACAGTCTTTACAAACTAATTAAGTTAAATGAGTTTATAAGGGTAGGACCCTAATTGGATACTAGCGTGGCCTTGTAAGAATTAAAAAAGAGAGCTGCCCCTCTCTGTCTCTTCACCATGTGAGGTCACAGCAGGAAGGTGGCCATCTGCAAGCCAGGAAAAGAGCCCTCACCAAAACCTAATCCTAATTGCACTCTGATCTCAGATTTCTGGTCTCTAGAACTATGAGAAAATAAATGTCTGGGCTAGGTGTGGTGGCTCATGCCTGTAATCCCAGCACTTTGGGAGGCTGAGGCAGGCAGATCACCTGAGGTCAGGAGTTTGAGACCAGCCTGGCCAACATGGTAAAACCCTGTCTCTACTGAAAATTCAAAAATTAGCCAGGCGTGGTAACATACACCTGTAGTCCCTGCTACTCAGGAGGCTAAAGCAGGAGAATCATTTGAACCTGGGAAGTGGAGGTTGCAGTGAGCTGAGATCATGCCACTACACTCCAGTCTGGGTGACAGAGTGAGACTCTGTCTCCAAAAAAAGAGAGAAATGTCTGTTGTTGAAGGCATCCAGTCTATAGTATTTTGTTAATGGCAGCCTGAGCTACTTACACATTTTCTATTTATCTGCTTATTTACTATAAAGGTTAATGTTTTAAATCGTGAATTTATGATTCTGGACAGCATATTTACTTTGTTATTTTACACAAATTTGGCATGGTGCTTGGCACATAATAGAAACTAAAGAAAATGGTGGATTAATAAATCGTAAAAACAGACAAAGATCAAGCTCTGCAATATTACTGATTTAATCTCAGAAATTTCTGGTTTGAACATTGGCTGTCAAGATTTCATTTGTTAAAAAAAAGGTAGCTTAAGGCTGGGCGTGGTGGCTCACGCCTGTAATCCCAGCACTTTGGGAGGCTGAGGCGGGTGGATCACGAGGTTGAGAGATCGAGACCATCCTGGCCAACATGGTGAAACCCCATTTCCACTAAAAATATAAAAAAATTACCTGGGCATGGTGGCACACGCCTGTAATCCCAGCTACTCAGGAGGCTGAGGCAGGAGAATTGCTTGAACCCGGGAGGCAGAGGTTGCAGTGAGCCAAGGTCGCACCACTGCACTCCAGCCTGACGCCTGGTGACAAAAAAAAAAAGGCCAGGCGCGGTGGCTCACGCCTGTAATCCCAGCACTTTGGGAGGCCGAGGCGGGTGGATCACGAGGTCAAGAGATCGAGACCATCCTGGTCAACATGGTGAAACCCTGTCTCTACTAAAAATACAAAAAATTAGCTGGGCATGGTGGTGCGTGCCTGTAATCCCAGCTACTCAGGAGGCTGAGGCACGAGAATTGGCCTGAACCCAGGAGGCGGAGGTTGCGGTGAGCCGAGATCGTGCCATTGCACTCCAGCCTGAGTAACAAGAGCGAAACTCCATCTCAAAAAAAAAAAAAGTAGCTTAAAGAGGCTACAAAGTCTAGAGAGGACAGAGGGATTATTTTACACAGGATAGTCAGGGGAGGCTACTTTGATAGGTGGCATTTAGCAGTGAGGCTTCCTGATCTCAGCATGACTGTTCTGCTTGGTTAAGATTGCAGCTCTGTCCACTGTAGTTGAGGAATTATCCTTAGAGAATGGGGAGGTAAAGAGACTTGGCTTGTTAACAGGTTCCCCTCTCACGTGAGTCTTAGTCATGCATGGCTTTTTGTCCACTGCTTGAAAACTGCCCCCGATGTAGTTTAATTTTATACTGTGCTATTGTGCCATGCTGCAACCCTTTCAACTCCAAAAGGGATGGCACTGTATGTGAGATGGAACTTACAGAGTGAGCCAGTGGTGGGAGGCTGAACAGGAGAACTGCCGCTGCCTACAGAAAGCGTGCACTCTATATAGCATTTTCACTTAACATCGTTCTAACAGCACCTATGTGGCAACCCTCATTTAACCCAAGACAGAAAGCCTCAATCCCCCATAGGGCCAGCGTTCCACAGGACAGGACAGGGACTCAGATATTCATCATAGATAAAGGTGAATCTCCAGGTTGGCCATATTTGGAACTCTGAACATGCATTCAGGTGCGTCTGCCATACTGGGTCATTTTCAGAGTATGCTGAAGTTATTCTGTCAGCTGTGTCTACCATACACAGTTGCATCCATCATATACTATGATAGGAAGAGTTGTCGCGTAGAAGTTCATCATAGCCCAAAGCAGAACTCGTGTTTTCAGTATTGTTTGAAGGGGTTAAGCAGAGAGAATTGAGTCAGGAGATTACCAGGAAGGTACACGGTTTTTTTATGGGATTGCAGGTGCCTGAATATAGTGATGACAGAATAAAGTCCATTTTTTTTGTCCCCGTCTCACTTTCTATATTGCTTGTAGAGAATAAAGTTCTTGTGGAAGGAATATTTTCAGAGGATTTGAGAGCATGGTGTTGAAGAGTTAAGGAAACAGCGTATATGACCTTTTAGTGCTAGATGCTTACATGCCAGTGAATCATCCTTACACTGTCGCAAATGTATGCTTCTCTCTCCCACCCTCTCACTTACCAGTCATATCCCACCATTCCTGGAGCCTCTCCTACCCTGAGGTCAGGTGAGAACCTTGCTGTGTAGTTTGGCTCAGAGGCTTACCATCAATAACCAGGTTCCTTTATATCCTGAAGTTATCTACTGAACACTTGAAAAATAAATTAACCTCAGCAAACTATAGAAAGTAGGAGACACTGCTAGCCAGCCTGTGACAAACATTTACTCAGTGCTGTGTGCTGGCTTATTTGCATTGTGTTTTGCAAAAGTCTTAAAATCACAGTCATATCCAGATTTTTGTTCAAGTGATTCTCCTGCCTCATCCTCCTGAGTAGCTGTGATTACAGGCAGCTGCCACCATGCCTGGCTGATTTTTGTATTTTTAATAGTGATGGGGTTTCACCATGTTGGCCAGGTTGATCTTGAACTCCTGGCCTCAATGGTAGGTACATTCCTATGGAAGGCAAGCATTTCATAAATAGTCTTCTAACATTGTTTGGACTTCTTCTGTGTTTGTCCCTACCGCTAATCTGCCCTGAACAGTGAACAGTGAACTGGAAGGTTTAGGCAGTATGCGGGGTGGTTACATTTTTTTGGTCTGGAGTCAGGTCCCTGTTGTTCTTTGTTTTGTTTCTGAGGCAGCATCTTGCTCTGTTGCTCAGGCTAGAGTTCAGTGGTGCAACCACAGTTCACTGCAGCCTCCAACTTCCTGCGCTCAAGTTATTTTCCTTCTCTCAGCCTCTGGAGTAGTGGGGACTACAGGCATACTACCACGTATAGTTATTCTTTAAATGTTTTGTAGGGATGGGGTGTCACTCTGTTGCCAGGCTGATCTTGAACTCCTTAACTCAAGTGATCCTCCTGCATCGGCTTCTTAAAGTGCTGAGGTTACAGGCCTGAGCCACCACACCCAGCCTCCGTTGATCTCAATCCCAGACCATTCTTGCATAATATATTTGAGTGTCAAGTTTGCCTTCTGTTAAATAGGACTGTCCCTAGTACCTGCCTCGTAGTGATACTGTGGGGGTTGGATAATAACAATGACAACCAAAATGACACCTAAGACACTAAGTAATTTCTTAGATGCCAGACATGGTTTCAGAATTCTACGTGTGTATCTCATTTAATACTCAGTGCAACTCTTGAAGATGGGCGGCTCTTCTCTCCTACCCCACTGTTGCCTCAGATCGTACAGGTGGAAGTGGTGTTCTTCCTACTATTGCTACTCCGAAGCATTCATTTTTCATTTTTCAACTTAATTCTCTTGACTCTCATATTGTGTGACGGGGAAAGGAAACCTGGTGGCACCTGGCACCTGATGGTAGACTACAGGCAATTAAAGAAGGAGTTTGCTGAGATACACCCTGCTGTGTCTAATACAATCTAAGTGATAGAACAACTGTACAAACTGCAGGTACTTATCATCTGTATTAGATTTAGCCAATGTTCTTCTCTTAGCCAGATCTCTTTACTCTTTTCTTTTCTTTCCTAAGAATAGGTTTGGCTGTAGTCCAGTAGCACCATCATAGCTCACTGTAGCGTTGACCTCCGGGGCTCAAGCGATTCTCCAGCTCCAGCCTCCTGAGTAGCTGGGACCACTCAGGAGGTGTGCCATCAAGGTGCACCACCAAGCCCAGCTAACTTTTTTTTTTGAGGCGGAGTTTCGCTCTTGTTACCCAGGCTGGAGTACAATGGCGCGATCTTGGCTCACCACAACCTCCGCCTCCTGGGTTCAGGCAATTCTCCTGCCTCAGCCTCCTGAGTAGCTGGGATTACAGGCACACGCCACCATGCCCAGCTAATTTTTTGTATTTTTAGTAGAGACGGGGTTTCACCATGTTGACCAGGATGGTCTCGATCTCTTGACCTCGTGATCCACCCGCCTCTGCCTCCCAAAGTGCTGGGATTACAGGCTTGAGCCACCGCGCCCGGCCCTAACTTTTTTTATTTTCTGCAGAGATGAGGTCCAGCTATGTTGCCCAGGTTGGTCTTAAACTCTTGACCTCAAGTGATCTCCCGCCTCAGCCTCCCGAAGTGCTGAGATTGTAGACACATACTAGATTTGTCTACCTCATTCTTCGGTTTCTCGACTCCTTCTGTGTTTGGGGACTGCTTCGCATATACAGCCCTTTCACAAAATAGGTCCCACAGAATGATTGACTTAATTCTGTGCATCCAGCTGAAATCCCAGGTACTAGCTGGGAAGGCAGACCAAAAGTGATTAAAAGAGAAATCTTCATAGACATTTGATACTCTACCAGGAGAGTGGGTTCTACCATCCTCCATGCCAGGATCTCCCCACTGAAGCAGAACCTACAGGTGGAGCAGGGAAAGAAAAGTAGACTCGTAGGTTTTTCAGTGACAGACATTATTTTTGTCTTTGCAACCACTCATTGTTAAGGTTTTCCTGCTTCATTGACGCTAGAGCTGACCTTGTGGCTGAATACCCAGAAGGGTATAAGAGAAGGTGTTCTGGAAAGCATCAGGAAAAGAAAGATCTATCTTGCTCTGACAGAGTAGAGATCTACAGAGGGATATCCCTGGCCACATGTAGCCTCCTGCTTTCTGCCTTTGAGTGAGCTGAGAGAACCTACCTACAGCTAATGCAGTTGTCTAGCAGCCACAAGGAGAAGGCCCATCCAATCAGAAATGCCGTCCCGGAACATGAATCATTGACATTTTAAAGGAAGAAGAGCAGCTGCTTCTCCCTGGACGTTGTGTTATGTATAGAAACAGACCCTCATTTGCCTTGGATGTATAAACTCATCCCTGTCTACACTCTTAAGTTCAGTTCGTTTCTACTACTTTTCATCAGGTCAGCAGAAGAAAATGTGTCCTGCCTAAAATATTCTTTTTAAAATTAACACTATTTTCTCACGCCTGTAATCCCAGCACTTTGGGAGGCCGAGGCGGGTGGATCACGAGGTCAAGAGATCGAGACCATCCTGGTCAACATGGCGAAACCCCGTCTCTACTAAAAATACAAAAAATTAGCTGGGCACGGTGGTGCGTGCCTGTAGTCCCAGCTACTCGGGAGGCTGAGGCAGGAGAATTGCTTGAACCCAGGAGGCAGAGGTTGCAGTGAGCCGAGATCGCGCCATTGCACTCCAGCCTGGGTAACAAGAGCAAAACTCCGTCTCAAAAAAATAAATAAATGAAAATATACTTTTGTCACTTTGCCACTTCTGTGGTTTCCACGGATTTACCTTGCCTTTGGATACTTTCCTAATTCCTTGGCATGACTTAAAGGTTCCTCGTTAATCTACCACTTTCAACATAATCTAGCCTTTCCTCCTGCTGCTCCCCTGCCTCTCATTCTATTCAAAGTCACTGAGATAAATGCATATCTGATTGCCTCATTTGGAGAGGCTAATCAGAACCTCAAGAGAATGCAACCATTTGTCTCTTATCTACCTATGACCTGGAAGTCCCCTCCCTGCTTCCAGTCTTCCCACCTTTGCTTCAAGTTGTCCTGCCTTTCCGGACTGAACCAGTGTTCGTCTTGCATATGCTGATTGATGTTCTATGTCTCAGAATCTATAAAATCAAACTGTGCTCTGACCACCTTGGGCCCATGTCATCAGGACCTCCTGAGGCTGTGTCACGGACATGCGTCCTTAACTTTGGCAAAATTAATTTTCCAAATTGACTGAGACCTGCCTCAGATTTTCAGGGTTCACATTTTGGTAATCACAGAGGGATTATGAATAATAGAGGTACCCGTGACCTTTGACAAATCTCCTGTCAGTGCTTGGTACCAGCTTGAGCTATCTTTATGGCTCAAACCAATAGGACAATTTGCTGAGGCCTGGAAGCACCCCTTCCAGAGAATCCCTGATCTTCCAAAATGTGGTCGCAATTTAAAGTCTATTTTGCTGTACAACTCGTTTAAAAAAATTTTTTACTTCTTCCAACACAAGGAAGGCCAGCCCCGCTTCCATAATGATGGAAGGCAGGTGACTCCTTTATAGAGTTCGAACTTGCTTCCAGCAGGGAAGATAAGGCTTTTTTCCCTGCGTCTAGGTTGGTAGAGAGTGGTCTTCAGCCTGGTACCATCCCAAGGTAAGCAAACTGGGGTTTGTCTTGGCCCAAGTGACCAGCTGGTCTTAATGTCTCCTTACCGTTAGCGTGCTCAGTAATACAAGTTGTGTGATTGTTTTCCTTAACTGTTTCGTTGTTGTTATTGTTGTTTTGGTCTGTTTCCCACTGGATTTGACCAACTTTACCTTCTCCTCTTTTTTTTTTTTTTTTTGAGCCAAAGCTTTAGTCTTCTCAGTTGATAGAATTCTGCTTTCTCTTCTTTTTTACCTACTGGTGACATGTAACAGAACTCTGTTTCTTCATTTACTTCTGCTGTCTCTCCTTTCTCTTGCACTCTCTGCTGCATGAGGGACCTAAAATAGTTTATAATAACCTGGGGTTCCTTAAAGAAAATGGAGAAGGTGTCAGATCCCTTTGGGGAGAAATCTGTTTTTCCTTATGGAAACCCAAGAGTGTAAACAGACAAGTTTGTCTCAGCTCCTAAACTGCTTGCTTTTGTATTGTGTTATCTGATTTATTGACTAAAATAGTCATTGCAACAGAAGCTACTCATGAATTTTTAAGAAGAATATAGTTTAGAGACTTAGAAATACCTTTATTTAAAACAGTTTTTCTAAATACACTGTAAAAATATTGCATGGTCTAGCCTCATAATAATTCTCCCTTTTTGCAAACCCAGGATTCAGTGTGGGCTCTGCCCAGAGCTCAGAGATCCGCTTTAGAAATAGGTAGTCCCTGTCTAAATAAAATTGGTCTCCTTATGCAATCCTATGATAGATTTTTACAATTTTACGTTTGATTTGGCATCCACCTCCAATCTACCTCTAGGACACCAGGCTTTTTCTCTCTGTACTTTATAATGTAAATTTTGCTGTAGAATTTCACCTGAGTTATTTCCTATAATATACAAATTTAAGACTATTTAGCTGACAACTGCGTAGGGTGGTGAAACAGTTTATTAGGTATCTGGGCCCAGCGTGGTGGCTCATGCCTGTAATCCCAGCACTTTGGGAGGCCAAGGTGGATGGATCACCTGAGATCAGGAGTTCAAGACCAGCCTAGCCAACATGGTGAAACCTCATCTCTTTAAAAAAAAAAAAAAAAATCTGAAAGGCTAAAAGGTTTTTATTAATCTATAAATGTACTTCTGTTAGCATGCCTAATATATCTATGAATTTATGTGTTGTGTATACAGTGTTTCACTACTGAAAATATGTAAAAGAACTCTAATTCTTAAAGAAAAATAAAAATGTGTAAATCAAATACTTTATCAGAAAAAGAAAAGACTAGTCAAATGCTTTTTCCAGTTTATATGACTTAAGTAAAATCTTTAATAAATAAGCCAGCTTTAAAATTGTTGGAAAAGTAGTATTAGCAATATCTTAAGAATAGCCAGCATACGTTTTTGTTCGCATTTATTGACCAAGGAATTTCATACTTATCCCTGCCAAATACTATAAGGTGTCAACATTTGACACAGGGATTACAAAACTATAAACATAGCCCAAGACAGAATGTTCTTTGCTTATGTAATCTTTGAAAAATAAGACGTTGATATTGGTTTAATGGTAATAGCTAAATCTTTAATTTAGTGACACTACCATAACTTATAATCCTGTGACTTTAGGCAGCCTGGTGCAGAGGCAGTAAGGAGGTTTGTTTGGGAAAAGGACTGTTCTTACCTTTGTTTCAAAGCTAAACTATAAGCTAAGGTCCTCCCAAAGTTAGTTTGGCCTACACCCAGGAAGGAACAGGACAGCTTAGAGGTTAGAAGCAAGGTAGAGACAGTTAGGTCAGGCCTTTGTCACTGTCTCAGTTACGGCAGTTTCAGAACTTTAAGTGATGTCTATCACAGTTTTCATAAATAATCTAGGTAAATTATTAAAATAAAATAATTAGGTATATGTAATGGGATACTTGTAGATAAATGACATGATTTGGAATCTACAGTTAAATAATAGGTATTTCATTATTTGGGTATTTTTCAATAAAAACATGTTGTAGGAAAACTTTTTTTTTTAATGGTGTGTTCTTTTAAAAAGGATGAACAATTTTTTGTCTAATTCAAAGATTATTTAAAGGTGACATATAAAACAGGATGAAAGTAAGCAGGAATAAGAGAGATGTAAAGAAAGTCATAGCAATAGAGAAGTTTTTCGGTAAGAAAATTTAAAAAGAAATATTTTTATATGAGAAAGAATCTTGTAAATTTAGCCACAGAATAAAATGACTTGTTGTTTAAGAGGGAGGAATGTTCAGGACAAACCAGAAAGTCCAAGCATTTAATGAATAGTCTACAGAAGTCACAACAAGAAGGTTTATTTAAAAATAAACTTTTATATAATTCAGTTGTCTATAATTAAAGGAAAATTGTAACGGTCTGTCTGGAGATTGGGTATGATATACAAAAACAACTTCAGCTCCCTTGCAGCTCATGTGAGTTTATTCTCCTTAGGTTCTGTGTTTTGTTTCGCTTTGTTTTGTTTTGTTTGTTTGTTCGTTTTTCTTTTTGGGGCCTGATGCTAACAATGTTTTTCTGAAAGGAAACGCGTTTTCTTCCAACATAATGTTCTGTGCACTGCATGAGGTCATTTCTTTTGCCTTTTGTTAACTGGCCTAACAGATTTTAGGTTTTATCGAAATCATTCCTCTGCCATTATTGTTCAGTTTGGTTTGCTTAGAAAGAAAAACAGATTAAAAATGTTTTTTGTTTTTTTTTTTTTTGGCTGGGCGAGGTGACTCACACCTGTAATCCTAGCACTTTGGGAGGCCAAGGCGGATGGATCACAAGGTCAGGAGTTTGACAACATGCTGGCTAACACCGTGAAACCCCATCTCCATTAAAAATATAAAAAATTAGCCGGGTGTGGTGGCACATGCCTGTAGTCTGAGCTACTGGGGAGGCTGAGGCAGGAGAATCACTTGAACCCAGGAGGTGGAGGTTGCGGTGAGCCAGGATCACGCCACTGCACTCCAGCCTGGGTGACAGAGAGAGACTCTGTGTCAAAAAAAAATTTTTTTTTTAATTAAGATTGTATGTCCATATATCTTCCTATAGGTGCTTTTAAAGTCCTTGTGACATTAAGTTACAGGACTTTGACTCCTGGGTCTAAAAAGGACACAAAGTCCTGCTAAATCTTAAATACTGACAGCAATTAAACCTTCATCTTCTGGCCCAGTAGACGGTGCCCATCAAAATAAACTGCATTCCTGAGACACAGGGGCAGAAACTAAACCTGTTCAATTACTTAAAGCCCAGGGACTATAGTGGGAGAGGTGGGCATACGGGATTGTAAGGGCCAATTTTGAGAGATCAAATAAGTTCGGTTTCTCTGTAAATTAAACCACTAATGTCAAAGGCACACGGATGCAAGACCAGCATACGGGCCCCCGTGTCAGATTAACAAGATTTTCTTGAAGCATTAACTGACTCCTTAATAAAGGATATAAAGCTTATAAAGGCTTGTGGAAGTTATAATCTTATGATCAAGATTAAAATTTTATAGATTGTTTATAAAATTTTGGAGAACAAATTTAATTGGCTTTATGCTTTTTTTTTGAAATGGAGTTTTGCTCTTGTTGTCCAGGCTGGAGTGCAATGGTACAATCTCAGCTCACTGCAACCTCTGCCTCCTGGGTTCAAGTGATTCTCCTGCCTCAGCCTCCCGAGTAGCTGGGATTACAGGCATGCTCCACCACACCCGGCTAATTTTGATTTTTTAGTTGAATCGGGGTTTCACTGTGTTGGTCAGGCTGGTCTTGGCTCCTTACCTGAAGTGATCTACCTGCCTTCGCCTCACAGAATGCTGGGATTACAGGTGTAAGACACTGTGCCCAGCCTATGCTGTTTTTACTAGGATTTATTGTTTGGAAAATTAAGTGTCCTTTCTCAAAGAATGAAGGGTTTCACCTTGTTTGGAAATCCTTGAGTTACCATTTTGGTTAAATGAATGGCTTATTTTCCAATGACCTGTGATCCTACTGTGGAATGTCAAGTTTTTAAAACCTTTGATATTTGTTACACTTTACAAAATCAAATGATAAATTATGTCTTTTTCCTGGACTCTTGTGCCCCCAACCTTCTGAGTAGCTGGGATTACAGGTGCCTACCACCACTCCTGGCTAATTATTTTTTAATTGTTATTAGAGACAGGGTTTCACCATGTTGGCCAGACTGGTCTTGAACTCCTGACCTCAAATAATCCACCCACCTCGGCCTCCCAATGTGCTGGGATTATAGGTGTGAGCCACCGTGCCTGGCCTTGAATGCAGGTTAGAGGAAAATCTTTCAGGACTCATGGGGCTGGAATGTTCATGAATATCAAGCAGAACAGGAATTAACGGCATAGAATAAACTCATAGAAGTCTGAAGTAATCTTTTTAACTTTTTGCTTCAAATGTTGCTAATCCTTTATTTTTCGAAGTTAAGCAAACTCTTATTTTAAGCTATCTACAGCTTTTAACAATTGAGTATTTTAGAGTCCTGTAAAAAATTTGGAGAATTTTTGTTTTTCTCTATCACCTGATTTCTACAGAATTTGGAAACTGTAGTATTCTTAACTTACAACAATATGCTTATTTGCTTAAGTGCAGTAAGAGTGCTTTCATTTGTAAGAAGATACAATTTGTGAAACTAGTTATTTTACCAAGGTTTGACTGCAATGGTTTGCTTTTTTTTTTTAAGGAATCAAACTTGACTTCTGAGCCAATAAAAGCCCCTTGGAAAAACTGACCGCATACCTTAGTCTACATAGTTCTTGTACAGGTTTCCTGACCTGTGCTGAGTAAGGAATGTCACCTTCTGACAGGCCCCAGGTTTACCTTGGAACCTCAAGAGGAGAGCAGTTCACCCAACTCATGAATATTCGATGATACAAATTTATCGCTGGGCGAAACTTTTTAAAAAAGTCTTATCTCAGATTTATTTTATGGAACAAGGTTCCAACAAAGACAATTTAAAATCCTATGTAAAAAAAAAAAAAAAAAAAATTATGCGGCCAGGCACAGTCACTCATGCCTGTAATCCCAGCACTTTGGGAAGCTGAGGCTGGTGGATCATGAGGTCGGGAGTTTGATACCAGCTTGGCCAGCATGGTAAAACCTATCTGTACTAAAAATACAAAAATTAGCTGGGCCTGGTGGTGCGCACCTATAATCCCAGCTACTCAGGAGGCCGAGGCAGGAGAATTGCCTGAACCCAGGAGGCGGAGGTTGCGGTGAGCCGAGATCACGCCACTGCACTCCAGCCTGGGTAAAACGTCCATAACTGATAATGAATAAATAAAATGGGGTATGTCCATATGATGGAATGTTATTTAGCCATAAGGAAGAAATGTAATACACGTGCTACAACATGAACATGAAAAACTGATGCTAAGTGAAAGAAGCCGGACACAAAAGGACAAATAATGCAGGATTTCACTTACATGAGGCATTTTGAATAGTCAAATTCTTAGACAGAAAGTGGAATGGTGGTTTCCAAGGGCTGGGGGTGGGGAGAAGGGAAAGTTATTGTTTAGTGGGGACAGAGTTTCTGATTGGGACAAAAATGTTCTGGATATGGATGGCATGATCTGATGTACTTAATTCCCATTTCCCTGTACACTTAAAAATTGTTAAAACAGTACATTTATGGTATGTATATTTTAGTACAATTTTTAAAAGCCAAAAGAATCATACCTCCCTCAGAAGGTCGTCTTAGCAAGCCAAACAGAATCACCTCCCTTGAGGGAGACTCTGCAGGTTTAGTGGCTGAGTTTTGTACATTTTTTAGAAGGTGTCATCTTTTATTTTCTTGCATGCAAACGTTGACCATGAGATTGGTTTTGGATTGTGCACTTGATAACGTAGAGTGGAATTGAATGTGGAGAAATGCCAAAGTCTTTGCTAGACAGATTCCAGTAAATAGAGCCAGTGACCCTGAGCCAGCCCTCTGGCTCATTTTTCTGCCTTTTCATTCTCCATCCTGCCCCCAAAATGATGCAAATTTCATCAAGGCTGTACCTGACTCAGAAGACTTCAGAGGCTCCGCATCAACCATAGAAGAGGGTTGACAGCTCTGAATGTGGCTCACAAGGGCCTCTCAGGTTGATCCTTATCCTTCTAGGAGAATCTTCCATCCCTTCTTTTCTTGCTTTTGTAAACTCCAGTGAGGCCACAGTGTTGTGAGTCTATTCTTTGGAGTGTAGTGTTGTCTTTGCCCATAAACACCATTCCTCATCTCATTTGCCTGATGAGCTCAGCTGTGTCCCCTCAATGAATTCTTTTCCAGTGTCCCTGCACTTGGTACACTCACGTTGATGGACTTGTCCCCCCATTGTGTAATAAAATATGTGATGCTTCATTTTATGTGTCAACTTGGCTGGGCCAGATATTTGGTCAAACATTATTCTGGGTGTTTCTGACAGAGCATTTTTTAATGAAATTAACATTCAAATCAGCAGAATTTACATAATATACATTGCCCTCTCTCATGTGGATGGACCTCATCTAAGCAGCTGAAGGCCTAAATTGAAAAAAAGACCAGACTCTCTGGAGGAAGAGAGAATTCTCCAGCAGAGAGCCGTGGGACCTCCTCTGCGACATCAGCTCTTCCTGGTTCTACAGGGTTTTACAGCCCAAAGATAGCCTGTGTAGTAGGCTACGCCATCTAGGTTTGTCTGAGTACATTTATATGATGTTTGCACAACAAGGCTCTTAGGAAATTGTTTAAGAACCCATTTCCCAGAATGTATCCCCGTCCTTGAGCAATGTGGACTGTGTTTCCACACTGTGAATACTCCCCTTGTGGGGGATTTCAGTCTACCAGTGTGACATCACTGAAAGGTACAGTTCATGGTTCACAGTTCCTATAGCCCTTTTCATTTCCTGAGTACAGCAAAGTATCTTTTGTTAAAATATTTGGCATATTTTTCCTGGTTACTGAAAAAGCTTCCAGAACAGCTCCAGAGCCATAAAGGTGAAAGACAGTAGTTCAGCCACACATGAGTTTATGTTAATGTGGTGACTTTTGGAAACTCGAAGGATAATCCCAGTATTTTCAGGGAGTGGTGGCTAGTTGCCAGAGGAACCAGCCATGTGCTCAGAGGATTGGAACTCACAGCCCCACCCTCTGCTTTCTCGAAAAGAGAGAGGCTGAAAATTGAGTTGATTGCCAGTGGCCAGTGATTTAATCAATCACATCTACATAATGAAACTCCATAAAAACCAAAAAGGGCTGAGTTCAGGTGGCTTCCAAGAAGGTAGACAAAAACACATCCTCATGCTGGGAGGGTGGTGCACCCCAGCTCCATGGGCAATGGTAGCTCCTGCACTAGGGCTAGTCTCAGACCTTGCCCTAGAAGTGTCTTCGTCTGGTTGTTTGTTTATATCCTTTAAAATATCTTTTGTAATAAGCCAGTAAACATGTTTCCCCAAGTTCTGTGAGCTGGTCTAGCAAATTAATTGAACCCAAGGAGCGGGTTGTTTGAGCCCCAATTTATAGCACATCTGTCAGAAACACAGGTGAAACAATCTGGAGTTTGAAATTGGCATGAGAAGAGGGGTACCATCTGGTGGGACTGAGCTGTTAACCTGTAGGGTCTGATGCTGTCTCCAGGTAACGGCAGAGTTGAATTGGAGTAGAGGCCCCTCCTGGTATCTGCTGCAGAAAGGCTTTTTTGAGAGGTTAAGACATTATAAGAGATGACAGAAAAAAAATGTATACGATACAAACTTTTCTGTGTTATATTTCTCCATAGCCCTTTTTACTCTTCATCAGATTACCTAATGTACACATTCGTGGCTTTTCTCCACTTCAATGTAAATTCTATAATAAGAGGGCAGGGACTTGTTTTTCCTCTGCTGTATCCCCTTGAATTGCTTTCCCTTGTCTCACCTACCAATACTAATGCTACAGTTTTCTTAGTCCCCTAAAACAGGGACCATTTCCATTCTGTTAAGTTGCAGAACGCGGTTTAATCCGAGGAGACTGGTTCCAAAAACGTGTTATTCACTATCTCTGAGCACTAACAATGACATTCTCATTTTGCAGCTGAGAGGTATTAATTTGCCAGAGTCACAACACGGGCGGGGTTCCGAGTCGCTGTTCTTATTCCAAAAGTCTTAACACAGAAAGATAATCACACTCCCACGGACACGCACAGAAGGCCGCGCTCCGAATGACATCGCAGTCACAGGGGCACAGACAGCGTCACAAAGCCGCACACGTGCTCACACCGAGGGCTCAGCCGCTGCGCGCTTCCCTCCGAGGTCGTAGGAACCGGTAACTAGGGACGCTTCTGGTCTCCAGGCGAGGAGAGGGGAGAGCGCAATCTTCGAGCCTGCGCACACTCCCGCTCTTACCCGCGGGAAACCCTAGGCCAAGTCCCGCTCCCATAATCACCCACTGCGCAGAAACGCTCGCTGTGTCTCTAGGGTCCCTCCCACTCTCACAGCTGCCCGAGGACAGCCCCTCAACGCCAGGCCACGCCTCATCTCCGCCCCTCGCGCCCGGCCCCCTGGAGAAAGATCGGCGCCTGCGCAATGGGGGTTCCGGCGTCGACTCACGAAGTCCTTCGGATCAGAGCGTCTGGGTGCCAGATGAAGCCAGGGGTTTGTTTTGGGTGGTTTGGGAGACCGAGCTCGAGGACAGGGCCTGGAGGGGCAGGCAAGGCGGGCGGCTCAGACCGGGGTCGCGAAGGCCCCTCAGCGTCCTCTGTCCCCTGGACGACTACATTTCCCAGAGGCCCGCGCGGCGCGCGTACTCGAGTCTGCGGGGCGGAGGCCACGGCTCGGGGCTGCTGGGCGCTCCGGGCGGCTCGGGGCGGCGGGACCACTGGAGTGAGCTGTGGGAGAGATGGGGCTTTGCCTGTGTGAAAGACTGGTCAGCGTGTGAGGCTCCGTGAGCGGGTGCGGTGTGTGTGTGTGTGTGTGTGTGTCCGTGTCAGACCGAGAGGCCAGAGTGTGACACGAACCAGGGAGCGTTCGTGTGTGACAGAGCGAGACGGGTCAGTGTGAGAGACCGGTGAGTGTGAGAGAGAGCGGGGTGTGAGGCTCTGAGAGGATCCGGGGTGTGTGGGTGTTTAGGTGTGTAACAGAGTGTCCAGAGCACGAGGCCAGGATGTGTTCGTGTGAGGGAGTGTGAGAGACTAGTGAATGTAAGAGAGAGGGGCGTGTGCCTGCGTGTGAAGGACCCACCGGTTGGTTGGTGTGTGAGGCTCCATGAGAGGCCGGTGTGTGTGTGTGTGTGTGTGTGAGAGAGAGAGGAGACTAGACTGCGAGGCCGAAGTGCGGGACTGTAGTGTGTTGACGTGTGAAAGGGAGACCGCTGAGTGTGAGAAATGGGTGTTTTGGGTGAAAGGCCTGTCGGCTTGTGAGCCAGTGGTTTGTGTGTGTGTCTGACAGGCTGAGAGAGACCGGAGTGTGAGACCAGGTGTGTGCGTGTGTGTGTGTGTGTGTGTGCGTGTGAGAGAGAAGGAGACTAGACTGCGAGGCCGAAGTGTGGGACTGTAGTGTGTTGACGTGTGAAAGGGAGACCGCTGAGTGTGAGAAATGGGTGTTTTGGGTGAAAGGCCTGTCAGCTTGTGAGGCAGTGGTTTGTGTGTGTGTCTGACAGGCTGAGAGAGACCGGAGTGTGAGACCAGGTGTGTGCGCGTGTGTGTGTGTGCGTGTGTGTGAGAGAGAAGGAGACTGCGAGGCCGAAGTGCGGGACTGTAGTGTGTTGACGTGTGAAAGGGAGACCGCTGAGTGTGAGAAATGGGTGTTTTGGGTGAAAGGCCTGTCAGCTTGTGAGGCAGTGGTTTGTGTGTGTGTCTGACAGGCTGAGAGAGACCGGAGTGTGAGACCAGGTGTGTGCGTGTGTGTGTGTGTGTGTGTGATCAGAGCGTGAGACCAGTGAGTGTGAGAGATGAGCGCGTGCCTGTGTGTGAAAGACCAGTTATGTGAGGCTCCTTGACAGGCTGGTGTGTGTATGAGAGAGAAAGAGACCACACTGTGAGAGTCCGAAGAGTGAGAGTGGGGTTTGTTGCTGTGAGTTTGTGAGAGAGAGAGGGGGCGATCAATGAGTCCCAAGTTACGTTTTGTGGCATACAACTTTTTTTTTTTTTTTTGAGACGGAGCTTCGCTCTTGTTACTCAGGCTGGAGTGCAATGGCACGATCTCGGCTCACCGTCTCCTGGGTTCAGGCAATTCTCCTTTGGCATACAACTTCTAATATCCTTGGAATCTCCAAAGTATTAAGTATCTTTTTGTATGCTAATGATTGGTAGGCTGCAGCCTGTAGGTAGATCATGGCAAGGGCTGCTGAACAGAACGAGCTAGGCAAGATGAGAGGGTTGGGACTATCAGCCCCATCCTCAATCTCCAGGGAGAGGAAAGGGAGCCACAGGTTAAACTGCTCATCAGTGGTCAGTGATTTATCCGGTCACGCCTAAGGAATGAAGTGTCCATAAAAACCCGAAAGGACTGGGTTCAGCACCCTTCCAGATAGCTTAACAATGGAGGTTCCTGTAGGATGAGCCGTACCCTGCATAACCTTGTCCTATGCATTTCTTCACTTCCTTCGTAATATCCTTTATCATTACAAACATGTTTCCCTAAATTCTGTTAGCTGCCTTAGCAAATTAACTGAATGCAAGGAGGGGGTCAGAGGACCCCTGATTTATATATGGCCAGTCAGTCAGAAGCACAGGTAAAACAACCTGGGGCTTGCAATTGGCATTGGAAGTGGGGAGCAATTTTCTAGGACTGAGCCCTCAACCTCTGGGATCTTATGCTATCTCCAGGTAGATGTGTCAGAACTGAGTTACCCAAGAGGTCACCCAACCGGTACTCACTGAAGAATTTATTGCTTGCCTGGTGTGTGTGTTTGAAGACCCCCAGACATCTGGTCTTCTAACTGTTTTGTGTTGTGAGAGTAGAGTAGGAGAAACAGTTTGATTTTCCTCGTTGTCACCTGAGTGTGTTATCAGGGACGGAATTGTGAGAATCCAGAGTGCGAGACCAGGGTATATCGATGTGTGAGAGAAATAGATGTGCCTGTGTAAAAGATTAACAAGTACGGGACTCCCTGCAGTCTGAGAAAGATCATGTGTGTGTGTGTGTGTGTGTGTGTGAGAGAGAGAGAGAGAGTAACAGCAAGAGACTAGACTGAGAGCTCCGTGATGGTGAGAGACTGAGGTGTGTTGGTGTGAGTGTGTGAGAGACCAGTGGGTATGTGGGAGACTGGAGTACGTCTCTGCATCTGGCCTGGGAGGTTGTGGGAGAATGTATCACAGTACGAAAAAGATTGGAGTGAGAGTAACCATTATGTATTTTGTGTGCTTTGATAAAGCAGTTGGAATGTGAGAGGCCAGACTGTGTTTGTGTATCTGTGTGACATACTGGAGTATTTGAGTAATTGAGGACTCTAAAAGGTACCATTGAATGTGTATGTATGAGAGACCATCATGTTTGTATGTGTGAAAGAGGGAAAGACTAGTGATGTGGTTATGTCAGAGACTAAAATGGATGAGAAAGAAACTGTGTGAACCATGGTGTGTTACTCAAAAGGCTTTACAAATATAAACTCTGTGAGGCTGTGGACCTTGCATGTGTGAGTGAGGCAGAGATAAGGGACAGTGAGCCATGTGTGTGAGAGAAGTAAGATTGGGGCCATGTGTTTATATTCATGTCCTCAGACAACGGAAATGTGACTCTGTATATGTGCTTGTTTTGGGGTTCTTGTGATTGTGTCCTCTGTGTGACCAGGAAATCTGTGTTAGTGTTTGTATGTCACCCTGTATACCTGTAATTGTGGCCGTGTATGACTGCTGTGTATGAAGAGACTACTTGGAAGATTGATAGGATTAGATTCTTTATGAGTGTGGCTGTTTGGAATTGTGTGTTGCTGGGATAGGAATGGTGGAATAGAATTCCTGTCCCCAATCCAAGAGCTTCGGTAAGAAACAAAAGGTGGGGTTACTGAAGCTCCTAACTGAAGCAAGAGACACCCTCAATAATGTGTGACAGGAGTGTAATAAAGGGGCTGGGGCAGAGGTGAGAGTGAAGGTGGCAGAACTGAGTGCTGAAGTTTCCATTGTTTCAGGGTGGGGAAAGTGAAACATCGCCGGGAGGGCGATGGGGGGTTGAGTGAAGACGGAGGATAACCCTGGCCTCTGGTGGCATTTGGGAGTCATATTTTCTTTTATCTTTTGTTTTTTTTCCCCCCCCAAAACCCATCCATCTGGCTCAAAAAGGAGTTAGATTTTCGAACACTGGACTTTCAAAGCATGAAGCAGAAACCCAAGAAGAGAATGACTTCGCCTTTACCTGTGAAATAGAGGCAATAACTATTTTGTAGGATTATTTCAAAATAAAGTGAGAGAATAATCCATGCAGAGTACTTAATACATCTATTTTTATTCACAATGAGATCAAAGAATGGGAAGGTAGCTCTTGGAAAAAGATTAAATTTAGGACCTCAAGCATGAAAAAAAAAGTTATGTAAGTTACAGCTCTTCAGTGGCCATAGGTTGCTCATACCAAGTTATGTGAAAATGGACCGACCAAAGCTGGGAAGCAGACAGTTGTAGGCTAGTGATTCTGGAAATGCAGCAGCCTTTCATCTCTCACTAACCTTTCCCTCCCTTCAGCCTTGCCCTCCCAAGACACTGCTCTTCAAGAGAGAGACCAGAGGAGAAGGCAAAAATGAATGTTGAAGTATTAAAAGTCATATCCCAGGTTAGTCAAAATTTTCTTTCTCTTCATGAAAGGCAGTCTTTCTGTTTAGGACTTATATGTAATGGAAAATTCTCTGATTAAAAGTCCAAGAGCCTAGTTCCCACTTCTCTCAGGGGCCACTGTCTTTAATTACCTAATTATCGAGTAATAGCTGTGTATAAAAGGTCATGGAGGCCCTTCTGAGATTTCCTCTTCCCACACTGTGTACATTTTAAATCTAATGTTGACCCTTGTGAAAAGACTTGATTTATGCTGTATGGATTACATCTTAGTACTAGTGAGTTGGATTCCAGGTTAAACGCGTATCTAGTGCCTCTCCTATACATAGAATACATCAGGAATTATTCCTCTAGCTGACTTTTTGTCCAAATCTCTGATTATGTCTTTAAGATAAATTCTTTAAAAATTTTTCTTTACATTTTAAGTATGAATTTCCAAACTCATTTGTTCACCTGAAGAATCTTGTTCTACTTAATTTTTGCAGATTTTATGAATTTAAATAGGTGATATGTTCACATGGTACAAAATTCAAAAACAAATTTCACTCTAACCTCCCAGTTCTTTTAAGAAGTTATTCTCAGCTTCTATTTCATTTAGAGCCATGTTATACCTTTGTATATACACAAATACTTTCTTCCCTTCAATGTTAATGGTTTTTTGTGTCCTGTTTGTCAAATTTTGGTCTGTCTTTAAGTCCTATTTTTCTTCTGAGATTTGTTTTGTCCTTCACAGTTAAGTTTCTGATAAGCTTGGACTTGATTTTTGTGGTTTTTCTTTCATGGTAGGGCTGAAATTACATTAAATTTTTATGTTAAATTTAATTTGCATTAGATTTTTACATTAAATTTTTATATTAAATTATAATTTATAAAAAGTAAGGCCAAGATTTATTTTTTCAAGTTGGCACAATGTCATTAATTGAATTATTCATCTCATTCTCACTAATTAGAAATGCCCCTTATATCATGCACTAAATTCCTATGACTATTTGGTTCTGTTGCTATACTACACTCAGTTTTACTTGAATTTCTGCTTTTAATCTTTTAATTTTTAAATACCATCATACTGCACATGTGTAAGGAACCATGTATACAAAAAGAGCCCTTAATTCTCCCATTGTGAAATTCCCTTTACATTTTTTCTAAGTGGAAAATATGTTTTCATGACATACATGAGTGTCAGATGTTCATAATTAATGCTTAATTAATTTAATTATATGTTTCATATTGAAAATTATGTTAAATTAATTTTGAAACACTGCTTTTCTTTCTTCTACTGTCAGCATTCATCAGATATTTTACAATATTCACATGGATTCCGGGCATCTGTGTCTTTCTCAGCATTAAAACCATTTTGTGAATTATCTAACCTAATTTTCCAAAGATACAGACCTTTTACAGTTTGTGTGCCTGATGTTGTCATTAAAATTCTATCTGAAGTCACAAGCACCAGTTAACACAACAGGACTTTTTCCCGCACCCCCCGACAGTATGCCCTGTAGAAGGAAGTTGGGATCTCCACAATACCACTTACTGTCTTTAGTTTTGATATTTAACCTCATACTCCTGAATAATGTTCTGCACACTGTTTCTTGATTGTTTTAGTTTTAGAAATTATCTAGTAACCTACTACTACTAGCTATAGTTGATAAAGACGCAGTGCACTAACCCCACCACTTGAAATGCACACATACATACTTTTTTGATAGACTTTGAACATGCTCACTATTTTTGTTTTAAGTCAGTGTTCAGGATAGCTTAGTGTCTTTCATCAATTTGGAAACTTTTTAACCACTATGTTTTCAAATATTCTGGAACTTTCCTTTTTCTAAGATTACAATTATATAAATGTTATTTTTCACACTTTTATACGTCACTTATGCTTTAATTCTCTCTTTTACACTCTAATCTCCTGTTAAGATCATAATGGAATTCTTAACTTCTGTTATTGAATACATAGTTCTAGAACTTCTATCTAACTATTTTATGTAATTTTCTGTTTTCTTCCTGAATTCACTCTTCCATTTTAGCTCCTTAAAAATGTTTTCATAGGCCGGGCGCGGTGGCTCAAGCCTGTAATCCCAGCACTTTGGGAGGCCGAGACGGGTGGATCACGAGGTCAAGAGATCGAGACCATCCTGGTCAACATGGTGAAACCCCGTCTCTACTAAAAATACAAAAAATTAGCTGGGCATGGTGGCGCGTGCCTGTAATCCCAGCTACTCGGGAGGCTGAGGCAGGAGAATTGCCTGAACCCAGAAGGCAGAGGTTGCAGTGAGCCGAGATCGCGCCATTGCACTCCAACCTGGGTAACAAGAGCGAAACTCTGTCTCAAAAAAAAAAAAAATGTTTTCATAATATTTTGATATCCTTGTTGGATAATTCCATTATCTGGATCTCTTGTGTGTTTCTATTTTCTGATTTTTGAAAATTCTCTTGATTTTTGTCTTAAACGCCTCATTTTGGGTTTAGTGCTACACTTTATATTTAAAAAAAAATAATTTGAAGCTTTGATGTCTTCCTCTTGAGAAGGTTTACTTAAAAATTTATTTTTTAGAATAGTTTTAGGTTTGTAGAAAAATTGTAGAGATAGTATAGAGAAATCTTGTATCACACCAAGCTTTCCCTGTTAATATCTTACATTAGTGTGGTACATTTGTTAGAATTAATGAAGCAATATTGATACATTATTGGTGACTAAAGTCCATCCTTAGTTTAGATTTTCTTTCCTTTTCTTAACTTTTTAATTTTTTTATTTTTTATTTTTTTTTTTGAGACAGAGTTTTACTCTGTCACCCAGGCTGGAGTGCAGTATCGGGATCATGGCTCACTATAACCTGCTTCCCCAATTCAAGTGATTCTAATGCTTCAGCCACCTGAGTAGCTGGGATTATAGGCAGGCACCACCCCATACAGACCATTTGGGATTTGTCATGTGGTCTTTGCCATGCTGTGTAGGCTAGTCTCAAGCTCCTGGCCTCAAGTGATTCACTGGCCTGAAGTGATCCACTGGCCTCGGCCTCCCAAAGTGCTGGGATTATAAGTGTGAGCCACTGCACCTGGCCAGGTTTTCTTAGGTTTTATCTAATGTCCTTTTTCTGTTCCAGGATCATATCTAGGAAACTGCATTACATAAGACTCCTCTTAGCTGTGATAGTTTTTCATACTTTGCTTTTTGATAACCTTGTCAGCATTGAGGAATACTCAAATATTTTGTAGAATGTCTCAAATCTGATGTTTTTTAATGATTAGGGTAATGTGTTTTAGGGAGGAAGATTGCAGAGGTAAAGTTCTTTTTTCATCACATCAAAACAGGAGTGTACTCTGTTTATTACTGTTTATTAATGTTGATGTTAATGTTAATTAATTTTGAGGTAGTGTTTGTCAGATTTCTCTATAATAAGGTTACTCTTTTTTCCCTCACTTTTCCATACTACACTGTTTGCAAGGGCAAACATAAATCATTTAGAAATCTTCTGAATATTTGCCTGTTTTTCTCATTTATTTATTTAAGTCATTTATTTAGTCTTAATTAATTTAGTCTTAATCCTCCTGGAAATTTCATAAATTTTCTGATTCCTTGTAATAAATGCTTTTTTTCTTAAAAAGAAAAAAGAATTACCAGATTACAGGCTCTTCAGATGTTATCCATTGGGATTTAGTTCATTCATCATAGCATTATAAGTTAAAAAAATTGCTAGATATACATGTATGCATATATATAAAGTTATTCTATAGATATTGGTAAGTCTGGTAGTATATATACCAAATTATTAACCATGAGTACCAGAATCAAAAGCAATCAATTTTTTTTTCCTGTGGGAATAGCCAAAGCTCCCATTCCTTAATAGTCACCAAAATTATCCTAAATATTGGAAAGATTGTGAGCACCTTTTGCTTGCATTGAGGAATTAATCTCATTTAATTTTATAAGAATATGTAAAATGATGGTTCTTAGTTCTCAACTCACTAGGTGAAAACTAGAATTTAGGAAAACCATGAGTTCACAGAGAAGCTTAAACAATTGTGTAATTCTTTTATATGTAATAATAGTAAACGTTTTTCTAAAGGTGTATATATCTTCTAAAGTTCCATACATTGAATATCTGTTTAAAATTTGCTTTTAAACGCTAATCTTTAGAACAAAGACAGGATACAGAGATTGGTGTTTAAAAGCAAATTAAAATATTGTGTTCGTAACCTTGTCTTTATTTAGTTATATTTTTGCTAACTTTACAGATTAGGCACTGAGATTAAGAAGACATTCATTTTCAATGGAAATAAATCTGAAGGTGAAAAATGCCCACGATAACTTTTAAAATTTCTTACAACCTACTGGTTATTATAACTGGTCATTAATTTTAATCTAAGAATATTTAAAAGTTATAACTTCAATTTCATTTTGTTATGCAACTGTGTGTACAACCAGCCATGGGTGGAAAACACAGTATTCACTGATACATACATAAGAAAAGTGCATTCTAAATGTGTTTTTATTGTTTTGTGGGGAAAAATATCAGCCACATCTGTTTAATGCCTTTCCCCTATCCCTGCCAATAAAACGTGGATTCCACGGAGTATCATTTGAAAAATATCAATTTAGATATTCTTCTTAAGCCTTTTTTTTTTTTGAGACGGAGTCTTGCTCTGTTGCCCAGGCTGGAGTGCAATGACATGGTCTCTGCTTACCGAAACTTCCGCCTCCTGGGTTCAAGCAATTCTTCTTTGTCAACCTCCCGAGTAGCTGGGATTATAGGCATGCGTCACCATGCCCAGCTAATTTTTTGTATTTTTAGTAGAGATGGGGTTTTACCATGTTGGCTAGGCTGGTCTGGAACTCCTGACCTCATGATCTGCCCACCTTGGCTTCCCAAAGTGCTGACATTAGAGGCGTGAGCCACCACGCCTAGCCCTTTTTATGCTCTTAAAGATTCAATGCAGGTATGTGTTCTTCCTCGAAGCCCTGTTCACTGCCAAGTAGTTATACACCCATATTTCCCCATGTTCAGAATGGATTAGCACCATTGTACCCAATGCAGTTAAATACTTCAATAAGTATTATTTTCCTTTGGATCTTCATATTTGTGTTTTTTCTCTTCTATGAGTTATTTATCACATAAGGTAGAGACATCTGGGATCAACTCGGAGTTATCGTTGGACATGAGCATTGGTTGGTTAAGAATATATTTGTTACTTCAGGACTTGGTAACATTCAAGGATGTGGCAATAGACTTTTCCCAGGAAGAATGGCAATGGATGAACCCTGCTCAGAAACGATTATACAGAAGTATGATGTTGGAAAACTATCAGAGCCTGGTATCACTTGGTGAGGATCTTTTCCCTCCTACATAGTCTACCTTTAAGGAACTTTTATGTTTTTATGTATTATTAAATTTGCTTTTATTGTATGTAGGTCAGAATGGAATCTAGGAATGGAATCTGAAAAACAGAGGATATCGGGGGGATTGAAGAAAACTGGAGATTTAGAGTTAGTGAGTTTTGTGAATATCAGATATTCCATGCATACACCCTTAAGGCAATTGGGAACATAGGACACATCATGAATCTCACCAGTCTCCTGGGTTTCCCTGCAAGAATTATCATCACCACTAGATAATAATAGGTTCACAGAGAATATAGCTAGATTACTACAAGTTCAGAATATCACTTTTAAATTCTGTATCTTTAACTTGTGAAAAGTAAACCAGGAAGACACAAACTATGAAAATGGCTTCAGATCACTTACTCTTAGGGAAATTTATATGGACCTTTCTTCTAAGCACTGGGGCTACCTCATTGGCTAGATTAGCTTTTTGTTCTCTAGAAGCCCTTTTGATTATGCTTGTGGTTCATTGAGCTTCTTGAAACTAAATTTGTATCTTAAACCAGATTTTTAGCCATTATTTGTTCAAAGTTTTTCTGTTCTTTTCTCTTTGGGACTTCAGTTCCACACATACTAGATTGTTTGATATTGTGCCCTAGGTAACTAAGGATTGTTTCATGTTTTAAAACCTTTGCTCTCTGTTTCTCAGATGGGATAATTTCTCTTTTTTGGGGGAGGGGACAGAGTCTCATTCTGTCACACAGGCTGGAGTGCAGTGACACGATCTTGGCTCACCACCTCCCAGGTCCAAGCAATTCTCTTGCCTTAGCCTCCCACGTAGCTGTGATTACAGGTGCTCACCGCCACACCCAGCTAATTTTTGTATTTTTAGTAGAGATGGGGTTTCACGATGTTCCCCAGGTTGGTCTCAAACTCCTGACCTCAGTTGATCCACCCACCTCAGCGTCCAGAGTGCTGGGATTACAGGTGTGAGCCACCGCACCCAGCTCAGTTTGGATAATCCTGTTGATTTATAGTCAAATTACTTGACTCTATCTTTATTTTCAATGTTCAGTTAGGTACCTCTAGTGAATTTTTAAGTTTCAGATGTTATATTATTTAATTTATAGAATATTTATTTGGTTCTTCTTATAGTTTTTCTTCTGAGATTTCCTGTGTGTACATTTATTACAAGCATATTTGACTTCATATTATTTATATAATAACAGCTGTTTTAAAATCATGTGCTAATTCCAACATCTTTGTTATTGCAGTGTGAGTGTCCCATTGCTTGCTTTTTCTAATGGGCATGGTTCACTTTTTCCTTTTCTTATGTCAAGTAATTTTGAATTTTATTATGGATGCTATAAATAAAACATTGTAGAGCCTCTGGATTCTGTCATATTCCCCTGAAGAGTATTGATTTTTTTTTAAATCAGGCAAGTAGCTCGGAACTTCAAACTCGGTTTTCTAGGGACCTTTTAAAATACTTCATTTACTACTGGGTGATAATATTCAGAAAATGTCAGGCTAAATTTCTGCCCTCAAGCCCCTAATAAAATAGTTCATAGAGTTAACTGTTAGCAATCTCATTAGACTATTCCAGAATTTTGTGTAGTCTGTCCTTCAAATGTGCTTTATCTCTTATCTAGTATTCCTGCTGTACCATCCCACCAGAATTTTGTGTAGTCTGTCCTTCAAATGTGCTTTATCTCTTATCTAGTATTCCTGCTGTATCATTCCACCAGAATTTTGTGTAGTCTGTCCTTCAAATGTGCTTTATCTCTTATCTAGTATTCCTGCTGTACCATCCCACCAGAATTTTGTGTAGTCTGTCCTTCAAATGTGCTTTATCTCTTATCTAGTATTCCTGCTGTACCATCCCACCAGAATTTTGTGTAGTCTGTCCTTCAAATGTGCTTTATCTCTTATCTAGTATTCCTGCTGTTTCATTCCACCAGAATTTTGTGTAGTCTGTCCTTCAAATGTGCTTTATCTCTTATCTAGTATTCCTGCTGTTTCATTCCACCAGAATTTTGTGTAGTCTGTCCTTCAAATGTGCTTTATCTCTTATCTAGTATTCCTGCTGTACCATCCCACCAGAATTAAAGTCCTGGTTTCTAGTTCTGAAGTAACGCAAAGCATGGCCAATTTTCATATCTTTTTTTATACGCAGGTCTTTGTGTTTCTAAGCCGTATGTAATCTCCTTATTGGAGCAAGGGAGAGAGCCTTGGGAGATGACAAGTGAGATGAGAAGAAGCCCATTCTCAGGTGAGTGTGGAAGAACCAGAGAGGGGAATCTTTTTGACATAATAGCTCAGCCATTTTTAGAGGTGATACCTTCTCATTTATGTATCTCAAAAACTCTTCATAAGCCTTACAGGCCTGGGAAGAAAACTGAAACTTTAATGCTTAACATGGGCCTCTCAAATATCTTCTCTTCTACTTGACTGTCTTCTCTCCAATAACTAAGATTCTCTAGAGACTAGAGAATCTTAAATCTCTAATATTTTTATTTTTCAAAAGTCTTTATTCAGCTCCTTACCATCCTCTCTTTTGCTTTGCCATACAAACTTATATAACCTTCTGTATTTCTTCAGACTTTCTTAATTCTTGAATTAGGGGCTGCTTACAAATTATAATGTACCCTGCTACTCTTTCATTCCTTTCCTGTAGCAGATAGGAAAGATCTAAATCCTGTTAACCTCTTCCTGATCGGCTCCTTCTTTTATAACCTCATTCTTTATTCCTTTTTAGTTTTTTCATCATACTTTAGTCCAGAGTTTGCTAAATTATGTGAATTCCCCAGAGTATGCTTCAAGTGAGTTGCAGGTATACCAAGCTACTAAGCTTCTTAAGAGCCTTGGGAGACTAGATGGCTTCGGAGGTAATTCCAAATCTGATTGCCTCTGGGCCACAGGCAGTATCATTCTCTTGCCTGCTCCACCTGTGTTTTACAAATGTCAATCTGAAAGAGTGTTCATCTAGCCCACGAGTCAACTTTTCTGGACTCACCAAGCTTTTTACTGGTACAGGCATTTTCATTACCTGCTTCCTCAACCCAGAATATTGCTCTCTTGAGTCTGTCTATCCTGAATATCACGTCAGAGCTAAAAAATCATCTCAACAGAGGCCTTCCCTAACCACCGTATGTAATGAACATTCATTCACCCATCCCAACCCAATAACTTAACTATTCACCAAACCACTGTTTCTTTTCTTCTCAACACTCAGGAAAGCCTAACAGTAACTTGTTTATTGTTTGATGCTTATATTCTGACTCTCTCACTGAAATGGAAGTTTTAAAAGACATTTTGGATAAAATATTTTATGCCTATAAAATTCTTCTTTCCCTTCTGTAACAGTGTTTGGGCTTTACATTTTGGATAATTTGGATTCTAAGCTTTTTGTGTCCTCCAAATACAGGAGTCCCCCAGTCAAGCCTTTGCCTTCTGCAGTTTGTTACCCACAGTACACCACTGTTAAAAAATGTTAAATGGAAAATTCTAGAAATATACAATTTATATGTTTTAAATTGTGCACCATTCTGAGTTTCACGGTGAAGTCTTGCACCTTTCTGTTCTGTCCTGCCCAGTTCATGAGTCATTCCTTTATGTAGTACATCCATGCTGTATGCCGCACCTGCCTGTTAGCCTCTTAATCTCATCTAGCTTTCCAGATCTGTTGCTTGTAGTGAATATAGGGTTCAGTATTATGCCAGGCTTCTGGTGTCCACTGGGGTCTTGAACTGTATCCACTATGGATAACAAGGAATGACTATACCCACACATCAGAAGGGAAATAGGACCTGCTTGGATGCACTTTATACTTCAGTGTTATATGAAGATGCCATCTTCCTTAAATAGAGAAACCAGAAAGGAACTTTCCTGATAATTGGCCCTGTAGAGAACAAGTGGAAGAGGGGGAAAAGGAACAAGCTATAAGTTTGGTAGGATACTGAGTCAATGGGTAGATATAAGTATTATTGTATGTAAAGGTATCTCAGTGTCTGTTAAAAAAAAGGGCCAGAAAATTAGGAAAAACCATGGCTCTCTGTGGGAAATTGGAGTTGAAGACAACCTTCATGTGACAAAAAAGTAAAATGTGAGAAAGCAGTAGGTGGTGGACTCAGTTTTCTGTGTCTTTGTCTAGTATTGTTCTCTTTGGTCGGTCTGTGTAGGAAAAATTATAGGTGATTAGTTCATTAACGCTACATTACCTCAGTTATTGAAGCATGGGTACCCTGGTCTCAACGTTTGTGTGCCCCTGAAATTCATGTTGAAATCATCTTCTCTAGAGTGATGATGGTAGGTGGGGACCTTGGGAGGTGATTAGGTCATGAGGGCTCATGAATGGGATTATTATCTTTATAAAAGGCCTGAAGGAGCTTCCTTGCCCCTTCCACTTTGTGAGGAAACAGCAAGAAGGCCCCATCTGAGAAAGCCGGCCCCCGCCACATCTGCCTGGGCCTTGGTCTTAGACTTCCCAGTCTATAGATCTGTGAGAAATAAATTAGCCATGCCTGGCTAATTTTTCTATAAGTATATTAGTCTATTTAGTTATAAGTGTATTAGTCTGTTCTCATGCTGCTAATAAAAACATACCTGAGACTGGGTACTTTATAAAGGAAAGAGGTTTAATTGACTTACAGTTCCACATGGCTAGGGAGGCCTCACAGTCATGGCGGAAAGTGAAGGAGGAGCAAGGTCACATCTTACTCAACCTCCCAAAGTGCTGGAATTATAGGCATGAGCCACCTTTCCCTCTGGTTTTCTCACAGTATCACCTCTTCAATACAAATTTCTTAACATTTAACTGATGACTTTTTATATATGCCCAGATTTCTCCTATCTATGGTTAGTGATGTAGCAATAATCTTTTTTTTTGAGATTAAGTTTTATTCTTGTCACCCAGGCTGGAGTGCAATGGTGCAGTCTTAGCTCACTGCAACCTCTGCCTGCCAGATTCAAGCGATTCTCCTGCTTTAGCCTCTCAGGTAGCTGGAATTACAAGCAGGTACCACCAGGCTCAGGTAATTTTGTTTTCAGTAGAGACAGGGTTTCACCACATTAGCCAGGCTGGTTTTGAACTCCTGACCTCACGTGATCCACTTGCCTTGGCCTCCCAAAGTGCTAGGATTACAGGCATGATCCACTGTGCCCGGTTGATGTAGCCATAATTTTTAAACCACATTTATTCCTTCTCTAAACTTACATTCTAGGTCAGGAAATAAGAAAGTTATTACTCGTGGTAGTAAATAAGAATGAAACTAATAGTAGTGATGTCAACCTATATATTATTATAAAATTCATTTCTTCAAAAGGGGAAATGGTAAAACCCTGTTAAGAAGTGGCTTAAGGCACTGGGTGCAGTGGCTCACGCCTGTAATCTTAGTTACTCAAGAAAAGGTGGGAAGATTGCTTAAGCCCAGGAGTTAGTGAACTATGATTGTGCCACTGCATTATAGCCTGGACAACTGAATGAAACTTTCTTTTTAAAAAAATAAAAAATAAAAAGATGGCCTAAGAAGTGATAATTATACTAGGCTGTTGAAAGTAAGATGAACAGAAAAATCTCTTAATATGCAGATTAAAGTTCAGGGAATCTGAGAATTGAAGAGTTCACTGTATTGAAACATGTAGATGGTTTCATGGGAACACCATTTTCTGATTATGAAAAGATAACCATAGGATTTCACCTAAGTCCTAAGATAATCATAAACCTTAGGGTTTGTGGTTACTGGAGATCTCTAGAAACTTTTGAGTGGCAGTAGTGATACAATATTGTCATTTCAACAAAATTAACATAATTGTATAGGAAAACCAATTACAAGTGGAAGAGAATAGATGAAGAAAGCTTGATTTATAGTCTGTTAGGTTAATACGGGCATGAAATACTACCATTGCAGACTGTTTCTCTAGGATTTCATTCTACATTGAGTGTTTTGTTTTTTTCAGACAGGGTCTTGCTCTGTTGCCCAGACTGGAGTGTAGAAGGGTTATCATGGCTCACTGCACTCTCAACCTCCCGGGCTCAAGTGATCCTTTGACCTCAGCTGCCTGAGTAGCTGGGACTACAGGCATGCATCACCATGCTTGACCCATTTTTGTATTTTTTGCAGAGATGGGGTTTTTCCATGTTGCCCAGGCTGGTCTTGAACTCTTGGGCTCAAGCAATCCATTCACCTTGGCCTCCCAAAATGCTGGATTATAAGCATGAACCACTATACCTGGCCTATTTAGTTTTCTTAATCACCTTTTCCATGTTCTGTATTTCTTAGAGTCTCCCTGCTTATTTTCCAGTTGACATGTCTGTGCGTCACAGGTTTTGTGAGATGTATTAAATATTTTTAAATGACCTTTTTCACAATGTCTCCTTTGTTGTGGCCCATGATAAAGGGAACATTCACTTTTTAATATACATCTTTCAGATTGGGAATCTATATATGAGACACAGGAATTACCTCTGAAGCAGTTCATTTATGATGATGCATGCATGGAGGGAATTACAAGCTATGGACTTGAGTGTTCCACTTTTGAAGAAAACTGGAAATGGGAAGACCTTTTTGAGAAGCAGATGGGAAGTCAAGAGATGTTTAGCCAGGAAGAAACAATCACTCATAAAGAAACCCTCACTAAGGAAACAGAATTCAAATATACTAAATTTGGGAAATGTATCCATGTGGAAAACATAGAAGGGAATATTTATAATCACACATCAGATAAAAAATGCTTCTCCAAAAATTCTATGGTAATAAAACACAAGAAAGTCTGTGCAGGAAAGAAGCTTTTTAAATGTAATGAGTGTGATAAAACCTTCACCCATAGCTCATCCCTTACTGTTCATTATAGAATTCATACTGGTGAAAAACCATATGAATGTGAGGAATGTGGGAAAGCCTTCAAGCAGAGGCAACACCTTGCTCAACATCACAGAACACATACTGGAGAGAAACTCTTTGAATGTAAAGAATGTAGGAAAGCCTTCAAACAGAGTGAACACCTTATTCAACATCAAAGAATTCATACTGGAGAAAAACCATATAAATGTAAGGAATGTAGAAAAGCTTTCAGACAGCCTGCACACCTTGCTCAGCATCAGAGAATTCATACTGGAGAGAAACCCTATGAATGTAAAGAATGCGGCAAAGCCTTCAGTGATGGCTCATCTTTTGCTCGACATCAGAGATGTCACACTGGCAAAAGACCCTATGAATGTATTGAGTGCGGGAAGGCTTTTAGGTATAACACATCTTTTATTCGTCACTGGAGGAGTTATCATACTGGAGAGAAGCCTTTTAATTGCATTGATTGTGGGAAAGCCTTCAGTGTTCACATAGGACTTATTCTACATAGGAGAATTCATACAGGAGAGAAACCTTACAAATGTGATGTGTGTGGAAAAACCTTCAGCTCTGGTTCATCCCGTACTGTACATCAGAGAATTCATACAGGAGAGAAACCTTATGAATGTGATATTTGTGGTAAAGACTTCAGTCATCATGCATCACTCACTCAGCATCAAAGAGTACATTCTGGAGAGAAACCTTATGAATGCAAGGAATGTGGGAAAGCCTTTAGGCAGAATGTACACCTTGTTAGTCATTTGAGAATTCATACTGGTGAAAAACCCTATGAATGTAAAGAATGTGGAAAAGCCTTTAGAATCAGTTCACAGCTGGCTACTCATCAGAGAATTCATACTGGGGAGAAGCCTTATGAATGTATTGAATGTGGAAATGCTTTCAAACAGAGATCACACCTGGCCCAACATCAGAAGACTCATACAGGAGAGAAACCTTATGAGTGTAATGAATGCGGGAAAGCCTTCAGCCAAACTTCCAATCTTACTCAACATCAAAGAATTCATACAGGAGAGAAACCCTATAAATGTACTGAATGTGGAAAGGCTTTTAGTGATAGCTCATCCTGTGCTCAACATCAAAGACTTCACACTGGCCAAAGGCCCTATCAGTGTTTTGAATGTGGGAAGGCATTCAGAAGAAAGTTATCCTTGATGTATCATCAAAGAGGTCATACTGGAAAAGAACCTTAAGAATGTACTGCATGTGGCCAAACCTTTAGTTATCATCAGTCCCTTACTGTTCATCAGAGAAATCCCACTGATTAAAAAACATAAATGTAAGAAATAAATAAAAACCCTCCGCCAGATTGAACACTTTACATGGAAGAATTCATACTACGGAGAGGTCTTAAATATGTTAAGAATGTGCAAACATCTTCAGACAAAATGCACACCTTGCTCATCATTGAGTTCATTTGAGGCATCCAGCTGTTCCTCACCCACTACATCACTGGATCCTGTCGACATACCTGCTAAATATTTTTGGAATTCATCCTCTCTTTCGATTCCCTAGTCTGAAACACAGTCATTTCATCTGGACTGTTTCAATCATCATACAACCTTTTGTCTTCCCTGGGCCACACTGGAAGAAGAAAAATTGTCTTGTGCCACACATACAACACACTAACATTAACAATAGTTGATGAGCTAAGAAAAAAAAAAAGTCTGTGTGTGATTTTAGTGATACACCAACACAGATAATCAAAGAAGTCATTGAATTCAAGAGGTTGGACACCCATGAATTCTAAAACTTCTGTATCTTCTTTTATCCCTTTGGTATTAATATAGCCACAGTGATCTTTTAAAAATGCAAATTAAATTATTCACTTTAAACTCCAGTTAAAATATTTGATGCATAATAAAGTTTTTAGCAAAATTACCAACTCATACTAAATGCTTGGTAAATGTTAGGTAAGTATTCTTCAGAGTGATATAAATTATTTTTAAACAGTGTACTCTTGAAATCTGTATGGCAATTGTAAAAATTTTGGAACCAAAACACTTTTTTTTAAACTAAAAAAAGTTTTTTAGATAGGGTCTTCCTGTGTTGCCCAGGCTGGTCTCAAACTCTTGTACTCAAGTGATCCTCCCACCTCATTCCCAAGTAGCTGGGATTACAGGCAACCAGCCTTTCTTAAAACAGTATCTTAAGGTAGACAGTGATTAGCATGTGTAGTATGCTTAACATTTAATATTATAATAAAACATCACAATGCCACTCTCATGTTTAAGACTGTGTTCCATTGTTGTTGAGGAAACTAATTACGACCTGATACATAGAACATGTTTTAAGAAGTGGCTATGTAGCTCTGGATAAAATGAGTAAAAGAATTAGAATTTCTGGGGAGAATATATGCAAAACTATATTTAGTCAAGTCAAAAAAAGTCACTAATGTTTAAATGAAGAAAGAGAAATTAATATAGTTCTATTTCAATATGTGGGTTCACAGATTTATTTTAGCATTCCAAGGATCCATTAATAAAGTTGTTCTGGGGCCCGGCGTGGTGGCTCACGCCTGTAATCCCAGCACTTTGGGAGGCCGAGGCGGGTGGATCACAAGGTCAAGAAATCGAGACCATCCTGGTCAACATGGTGAAACCCCATCTCTACTAAAAATACAAAAAATTAGCTGGGCATGGTGGCACATGCCTGTAATCCCAGCTACTATGGAGACTGAGGCAGGAGAATTGCCTGAACCCAGGAGGCGGAGATTGCGGTGAGCCAAGATCGTGCCATTGCACTCCAGCCTGGGTAACAAGAGCAAAACTCCATCTCAAAAAAAATAAATAAATAAAATAAAGTTGTTCTGGAGTTAAAAACACACACACACACACACACACACTTAAAATCTCCCACTTCTTTGATGAGGTTAAGTCAATTGTGATATTAAACCAAGGGGAATAAATGAAATTATAGGTGAATTTACTTAGTTTTATACAAAAGGAAATTGTTCGCCTCTGCTGATGGAGAACAGAGGCTCTGAATAAATGGAGATCCATAACATGATCCTAGCTGGATGTTTGAGTATTGTAATCCTGTGGGTTACTTTTACACTGACCATTCTGAAATTCATGTTGAGTCTTACATTAGGCAGGTATCACAAGGAAGGTCGTATCGCATGAGTTTTTTATATTGCAGAAGTGTTTTTGATGTATCATTGGGGGAGATTAAATGTCTTTGACAGTTATCCAACTGGAGATCACATTTCGCTCCTTACAGAGAAGTTTATTCTGTACTGATTACAGACATGAGAGGAAATACTGTGAAGACGGTAGAGGAGAATGTAGAGTATTTCTGTGCCTTTAGGTCCAGGAAGTCTTTGGTAAGCAGGACATGGTCCAGAAGCCATGAAGAGAGAATGACAGTTCTGTGTAGAAGATTTAAACCTTTTTCATGATATAAGACACTGTATGCAAAGTTAAAAGCCATATGACAGGCTGAGAGATATCTTAAACATACATTTAAAAGGATATAGCCCTTGCAAAAGGGCTGTTGGAAAGCAGCAAGGTTAAGGTACACAGTCTTGCATAGCATGTCAACAAAAAAATCCTTGGATGAAGAAATTAAAATAGTTAAATAGAGGAAGTTCTCAACCTCACTAATAGTCAGATAAATGCAGATTGTAAAAGTCCTCATCACCACCAACACAAACCAGCAGAGATTCTGTGTGAATGTAAAGTTTGGATGATATCCGGTACTATTGCAGATGTGAGAAACCATATTTCATCTATTGAGAGGGTAAATTAGAGGAAAGCCATTTCAGAGGGCAATGTGGTCTTACCTGTCAGCATTTTGAATATAAGTACCCTTTGCCACAATTCTACACCTAGTAATTTATGTTCTCAAAAAGCACAGTGCAGACATATAGATGCATAAGCACATGTGTTATAGAATTGAGAGAAATTTGGAAAAACAAACTATTTAGAACTAGTGAAGTTAGAGGTTACAGAAAATCAATTCAGTAATCAGTATGCAGTTACAGAAAATGAGATGGATCTCTGTGTACTCAAAGATGTCTTGCAGTTTATGAATTGAAATATAATTTTATAACCAACACAGTGACATCATTATTAAGTACATAAGTCCTATAAAGCTTAAAAATGCCTTTATAGTATCAGTCATTTGCTGTTTTTGTTTACCATGCACACACAGATACAGGAACTCCTTCCCTGTTGTTCTATTTTTCTCATGGGAGGTGGGGTGAGCTGTTGTCATGTTATTCCATGAGCTTTTTTGTTGTTGCTGGTTGTGCATAGTTCATTTAAATCAAATTAGATACTCCTTGAGACATGGGGGAAGTTGAATATGAGTTATCTTTTGGTCAAGACTTAAAGATGATGGTGTATGAGTTTCTGCTGCTCCACTCCCTAGACCTGACCCAATTCACGCTCCTGCCAGATTGTAAACACGTTTTGTTCCGCTGAGGTGGCAGAGTAGCCCCAAAAGAGCTGTAACTAAGGTATGCACATTACTGAAGACAGGGATATAACCAGTATTTCTGGGAGAGCTCTAGGGAAGGTAGATTTATATAACAGTTATGCTGAGGAATTATGGGTGGTGATTCTTGCTCAAGCCCAGCTCATACATCAGGCTAGAAGTTGCTTAGATACCTTTATCAGTGCCTGAGGATGTTTTAAGGCCTCTGTTTGGGTTTAAGCCTGCTGGGAAAAACCTGGGCTAAAAATGGCTGAAAAGCTTTTCCTGAACCCGTGATATGAGAACAGCATTTTCCTTCTAGGGGATGCTCTACTTGTCATCCATAGGATGCTACGCACATTTCCAAAAAGGACTGTTTGAGGAAAGCGGTTTCTTACAGGAAATGGAGGAGCTCATGGAAGCTGCAGCTCACCAGAAGCAAAGTCTTCAATTCAGTGGTGTTCTTGGGCAGCCGTATACCGGCTTGTAAGAGCTGAATACACTTTCAGGAATTTTGTTAGCTAGTTGAGAAATGTGGTGTGTGTGCTAATATATTCACATATGTGCTAAATACATCTTAGTAAAATTGATAATAAATTCATGGAAGTCATGCGCTCATCTTCCCCTTGCAGAGCTGGATGGTAAGCCTTTGCCAGCATACCACTGATAGTTATCGGGAACAGATGTCTGGCTGTGATTACTAGTAAGTCTCTGGAAATGAAATCAGTAGTCAACTGCTGAAATTTTCCTTTGTTACTTATTTGTTACAAATTTTCCCTTGTTACCAGGCCCTAAAGTCTGGTCAGGGAGACCTTAGGCCAGTTATCCCCATGCTGGAAGTTGCCTTTCACCCTGTTCCCAAAATCTGGGTGTGTGGACAGCAGTGGACAGTAGCAGCAGTGTTTCTTCTCCTCCTAGGATCCTCAGCAGAACTGTAACCAAGATAAGTGTGTTCTCAGGGAAACCACTAACATTTCTGGAAGAACTTTAGAAAATGTAGACTGCTGTCCCAGTCATTCTGGAGAATTATGGGGTGATATTTGCCCATGTCCCCTTATACACTAGGCTCTGCAGGATCATGTGCCAGTCATTGGCCTGTTTGCTGTGAGATCCATTCTTTGCCTTTGCCCCGCTGTATGCCAAGTCACAGGTATTTAACCTCTGCAGGTTACACTTTCCAGAGTCTACTGCCCACCAGTTTCCTGTAAGGGTCACTCAGCAGGAGGCACTAGCAGAAGACTGGAGGGTGAGGGCTGGGGAGAAGCCAGTGTATTTCTCTTCTACTCTTTACTTTGGATGGTGCTGCTGGCAATGACTACACCTTCTCTGTTCCACCTCCCTCTTCACACCCCTGCCTGTGGTCCCTGTTACTGCTGGGAAAGTTCCTGTACATCAGTCCCGCTTCTTCAGGTGGCCCTGGTCCCTACGCTATGGTCAGATCACCTCCCCCTTGCACCCTCAAGCTGTAGGGTTGGGAACTATTTGCCCCTGTTAATAACCTGAGATGCCTCCCTGCTCTCTGTCACCCTTCCCAACACCTTAGTTACTACTTTGCCATGTTAAAGTCCCTCTGTTAGACCATGTTGCATGGGTGTTTCCTGACTAAATCCTAGCAGACAACAAACACAAGCTACAGATGCTTCTGGACTTAGAGCAGGGGTTATATCCTGACGAACCCACGGTAAACTGAAATGCATTTAATACCCTGATGATCTAATTGTGAAAATGAACCATCTTCGGGGACCATTTGTAGTTCTTTCTACTTGCCTTGGTAACACATACTCATGCTAGGCTGAATCAAATCACAAGACCGCACTGGGCACTGCCGCCCTAGTGAAGTTCCTGTGTGCCCAGTGATTGGAGGCATATGCAGAATAACTTATGACGCCTTGTACTCCCCGAGATTAAGAAATAAATAGGACCCTTCTTAAATACAACATAAGCTAAATAGAATCTTGTTACAATCCATACGTCACTGGACCAGAAGAAAACCTCCAGGTTATGGGGACCTTCAGGGGGTTAATGGCAAAGGGAGTGACAGCAGTGTGTGGTGGTGGGCACTGCCATCCTCGGAGTGTGTAGTTGCCTCTACCCAGATGGATCTTTTCCACCTAATAATGGGACGTGGACTGCAGCAGCTAGCTCAGATTCTGTGCTCCGGTACTGAATCTCCAATACAGGCTACTCTCAAATCAAGACCCTTTTTGCAAAGGAAAAAGCATGACCCTTGGGTGAAACTTGTGATCCTGCAGAGCCTACTCAATGAGCTGGACTTGGACAAGAATCCCCCCATAATTCTCCAGAATGACTGTGACAGAAGCCTATATCCCCAAGAGTTCCTTATTTCCCTTCCTTCAGAATGCACGTAACTTGGTTGCAGGCCTTTTGGGAATTTTAGGAAGAAAAGCAACAGTGCTGTTACAGGAAGGTTATTCTTGAAGGGTACCCAGGTGACTGTCTACTACTCTGTTGGGCTTTCTGCAGGTTCCACAAAATATCCCAATCTGCTCTAAGTCCTTCAAACGAAACGGGAGCTTTGTGGCCCTAAGGACTCAGTGGTAGAGCCTTGTGTATCACAACCTAAACTGAAAGGTGTTCTCTTCCTTCTGGACCCCAGCACACCTGGAAGTTTATCTGGAGGAAAAGACTCCTTGTTTTTATAGATGCTGTAGCATGCCCATACCAGCTAAAATAGGACCTCTGAGCACAGCCACCTCAGTCAGAGGGACCCACGGACCCACTCTGAACGTGGCATACCCTCTTCTTTCTTAGTTAGTGCAATTCTTGCTTAAAGAGTGCATGACAGAAGAAAGAAGCCTTGGTGTTAAGCATAGAGGCAACATTTGGACGCAGCGTGTGGGCTGCTGCTCACTGAAGCTGACTTGGCTGACTGAGGTTCAAGTAATCCTTCTAAAATGTTCTTTTTTTCTTTTCAGTAAAATGTGTCATGTTTTGAGGCAGTTGGATTCCACTGGACCTTTTTCTTTGAAAACAGGGATGGGTAAGAAGGTGGGGAAGTGTGGCATCCTGGGTTATTCTTATTCTGGATTATTTCCTTTTAATATTCTTTGCATCTCTTCCATTCTGTTCAAGGACTGAATGAATGCTTTTTGCACTACCATTATACACATTTGATTTGTACCCCAAATCAAACGGCACATTTCAGAACAAAGCAAGGCAAGGAGTTGATTCTTCTGAGAGTCATTCTCGTGTGTGTGTGTGTGTGTGTGTACATATGTATATATACATATATATGTGTTCCATTTCCTTTCAACAGTATGTGCTAAAGTTAGAAAGGATACATGTTAGCCAGGCGTGGTGGCTCACGCCTGTAATCCCAGCACTTTGGGAGGCCGAGGCGGGTCTCCCGGATCATGAGGTCAAGAGATCAAGACCATTCTGGTAAACATGGTGAAACCCTGTCTCTACTAAAAATACAAAAAAAAAATTAGCTGGGCACAGTGGCACATGCCTGTAATCCCAGCTACTCAGGAGGCTGAGGCAGGAGAATTGCCTGAACCCAGGAGGCGGAGGTTGCGGTAAGCCAAGATCGCGCCATTGCACTCCAGCCTGGGTAACAAGAGCGAAACCCTGTCTCAAAAAAAAAAAAAAAAAAGGATACATGTCATGAGGCACGGTGGTGTATGATCTGAACATCAACAAAGAATATAAATAATCAGTACATGATGGTGTTTGTCCAATTATCAGAACGCCTGTATTCAAGGAAATAAGTAATAGGAGAAACCATTTACAAACTGACCTTTCTTAACTGATCAACGTCTAAGCAGTTATATCACCTTCTGAGCAATTCCCTTTATTTTAGCACATCAACACTTTCACCCCAAAACACCCCAGGTACATTATAAAGATTGGTGATTCAACATTAGAGTTTCTGACCTAATGCACTCACCAGTTTACCCATCATAACAGTGTTTGGTTAGAGGTGACTGTGGCAAACACATAAGAATTGTACACCATGTATGCGGGAGCCCAACTGTTTTGCTTTACATGTGAACAACAAGCAAGAAATGTGTTTTGTGACACTTTGTGTTTAGCGTATATTTTAACCCTAAGTTGTTTTTCTGTGACATGACTTTAAAGTTTGGGTGCAAGATAACCACAAACCCCCATACTCACTAAAAAAAAAATTGGAAAATTGAGAAGAGGAGGAAATCACGGCAGAATGACTGCTTTACCTGTGCATCTGCTGCTGAGTCTCCTGCTTCTCCTTTAGCTGGCAGACTTGGTCTTTATTACACCTTACATGCAAATTACATTTTTGTTTTCAATTTGTTGCTTTTTTACTTATGTAAATTTGTTTTTATGATTCAATTGATATATTTTTCTGTCTGTAAAAATTGAGATGGAAATCCATTTCAACAGCCTTTCCAATTGTGGCACATCTATCAATAATGGATTTTAAATATAAAAAAATGGGTAGCTGTATACTGAACGGCTCACACTAAAGTGTTTAAATTCTTTTTCTCATCTGTCTGGGTTTCAGTGGTATGGAGGTTTTAGCCCCAAGTGGAGGTATCTTCTGTTAGGGAATATAGTAATGACCACAATGAATCAGAAGCTTATTGCCATCTGGCCATTTTGATCTTCTCCCGACAATAAAAGAGCAGGTTACAAAAACAAAACACTGTGATTGTTGGTTTTATAAAGAGGTGGGGAAAGGTTTCCCTACAATAATTGCCAGGAAAACTATGGTTGGGTGCTTCCTTGTACTAACTGCCATGTCTAGTTATAAAGTCGCATGCTCAACGTTTTTCGTTTCACCTTCCAGAATTCTGGTTTTGGCTTGTCCAAAGGCTTTAGGGCCAGGAGGAGGAAGTCTTCTATTCCAGAATCTAACAATGGATTCAGTGCATTGTAGATCAAATGACGTCTGTCTGTTTAACATCTCACATGTCACTGCATGAGTCGTTGGAATTAAAAAGCCGAGGGAGTTGATCCAGACGGGCAATGATAAAGAGTTGGTGCCCAATAATGGAGATTGGGAGGAATGTGGTTGTGTCACTTCCTAGAAATATGCCCATTGGTAATGGAAGACACCTGCAGTATCACATAGGCCATTGATGATTTGGGCCAGATTATTCCTCAACTCAGGCAAAGAACCTTAACTCACTGAGGTGTTGGCAAAGCTTAGGAGAAACATGGATTATAAAGTAGAAGAGATTATATATACAACTATAATCCTAGTTATACATACCAGTTCCAGAAAAAATAAGGGCTGGCTCTGTTCTCTACTTGTTTTTCTTTTTATTGTTTCATAATTAAACCTCTTCCCTGCCCACTGCCCTTTTGTTCAGAGAAGGTCTTTTAATTAAAGTGATTTTAAACTCTGTTCGTATTATCTCAGTGAGTGCTTACACATTTTTGTTGCTGTTGTTTTAACACTTGCTATGAATCAGAGGAATACACATTTTTCTTTTAAAGAGATAGGGTATCGCTCTGTCACCCAGGCTGGAGTGCACTGGCACAGTCACGGCTCACTGAAGCCTTTAACTCTTGGGCTCAAGCAATCCTCCTGCCTCAGCCTCCCAAGTAGCCTACCAATTAGCCACTATGCCGGGCTAATTTTTGTTTTTTAATTGTTGAGATGGGGGTCTCATTACATTGTTCAGGCTGGTCTCAAAACCCTGACCTCAAGCAATCCTCCTACCTTGGCCTCTCAGTGTTGGGATTACAGGCATCAGCTACCATGCCTGACCCACATTTATTTTTAAGGAGGAAATATTTACATACAGATGTTGAGTGTAAACTTGATGAATTTTTTATGGTTTGCACTATAAAATGTACTCATTTTAGGTATAAAATTCTCACTTTCACAAACTCAGTCATGTAGCCACTATAATCAAGATACACAACACCAAAAATGCCCCTTTTAGTCACTCTCCTCCAACCCCAATCCCCAGGCTACCACTGATCTATTTTCTGTCTTATATGGCATTATAAAATGTCATATATGTATATAATCATACAGTATGTAGCCTTTTGAGTGTAGTTTCCTTCACTTAGCATAAAATGTGAGATTTAGCCACGCTGTGTATATCAGTGGGTTGTTCTGTTTTATTGCTGAATTGCATTCTATTATATTAAGAATCCACAGTTGAGTTATCCGTTTACTAAATATTAGACATTTGGGTTGTTTCCAGGTTTGGGTGATTATGAATAAAGTCATTGAAAGCATTCAATAACAAGTTTTTAGTGAATATCCATTTTCACTGGTCTTTGGTAAATATCTAGAAGCAGGACTGGTGGATAATACGATAAGTCTACATCAATTTTATAAGAACCTAAAAAACTGTTTCTCAAGATGCCTGTAGTATTTTTCGTTCCAATCAACAACAGATGAGAATTCTCTGTTTGGCATCCTCACCAACAGTTAATATTGGCAGGTTTTTTCCCCAATCTCATAGGTTTATGTTTCTTTGTGGTTTTAATTTGTATTTTCTGGATGGCAAATTATAAGTCACATGTACATCTGCCGTGGTAAAGTCTAGAATTTTGCCAATTTTTTAAAGTTTGTGTACTTTCTGTTGTTTTAAGAGTTCTTCATATATTCTGAATAGAATTCCAGTTTCAGATATGTGATTTGCAAATATTCAGTCTTTGAATTGTCTTTCTCTTAACAGTGTCTTTTTGCACAGTGTAAGTTTTCAATTTTGATGAAGTCAAATTTATCAAAATTATTTTATGAAATGTGTCATATGTCTTGAAATTGGGTAATGCCAGTACTCTGTTCTTTTTCACAATTGTTTAGATATTCAATTTCATAATAAATATTTGAATCATTTTATCAGTATTTACACAAAAGTTGTTGACATTTATTTTAAGTTTATTTATTTGTTTGAGACAGGGTCTCATGCTGTCGCCCAGGCTTTAGTGCATCGGTGCCATCTTGGCTCACTGTATGCCTTCTGGGTTCAAGCAGTTCTTGTGCCTGAGCCTCTGAGTAGCTGGGATTGTAGGCACCTGCCACCACGCCCATCTAACTTGCATTTTTAGTAGAAACAGGGTTTTGCCATGTTGGCCAGGCTGATCTCAGAGTCGTGGCCTCTGTGATCCATCTGCCTCAGCCTCACAAAGTGCTGGGATGACAGGCGTGAGCCACTGCAAATTTGAAGTAACAAAACTGATAGGGATTATCTATTGTTTTGGTGTTCATTGAAAACCCTCAGAACTTATTTAATGATTTTCCATTTCTTTTTGAGTCAGTTTTGGTACTTACAGTTTTCGCTACAGTAAGCCCCTGCATACGTTTTAAATATATTGAGATAAGGCGATCATTGTATTTGTAAAAATCTAAAAATTTCTGTGACTATGTTCACTTCTTCATTTCTAATACCATTTGTTTGTTTGTTTCTCTTTTTAGCCAACTTTCTTTAGCCATCTTTAACTTAACCTTTATCCTCATGGTGTCAACGTGGCTGTTCTACCTGTTGACATTCTGTGTTATACCCAAGCAAGAAGAAAGATGACAGCAGGCCAGAGTTACGTGCCGGCTGTGTCTCTCTCCACTCACCTACCAAACCTCCAAAACATCTGTTTTTAAATGTCACTGGTTACAGCCACACGACTCCTTACAAGGAGACTGGTGAGGTGAGCATTATAAGCTGGGCAGATGGCCGCCTGAAGAGCATCAGTGTTTTGCTGTGGAAGGAGTGGAAAACAGACACTGGAGAGACTACTAGCAGTGTCTTCCACAGCTATTACATGGCTATGTGCACTTAACGCTGAAACTAAGCCTTTTCTATGAGACTGAAGTGCTTTGAAGAGAAATGCTGACCTTGTCTTTTCTGTAGCTTGTGGCTTCAGTCACCCTTGGAATCAGGAGTCATCTTAATTTCATCACTGAGGCCAGGAGACCTGACGGAAATCAGTTCAAGAGTATGACCAGGGGTCCAGTGTGACTGCACATGTAGGGATCAGCGCATCTGTGATGATGTGTGTGACAGCATCACTGCCTGTGAGCCAACAAGGCCCTCGGCTCCCAGGGCGAAGCTCTCCAGTTCTGATAAGGCCCCTGGGGGAGAGACCGGTCCTAAACATGTACAAGAATAAATCCATCAGCGAACTTCAGGAAGGAAACTTTATAACAGGTCGCCAGGGCTGGTATTTTTGACTGAGATGTTAGGTAGCCCTCTCTGAGGCGATCACAAGTATGGCATAAAGGAGCCAGCCCGGACGAAAATTTGGGGTTATTCAGACGCAGGACGTGCAAATACATAGGTGACAAAATGGAAAATGATATTCTGGAGGATGGGAGGCCCGTGCAGCCAGAGAGAATGAGAGAAGGTGAGGGAGCGCCCAAAACCAATCCCACAGCTCTCTACATCTCCCTTTCTAGCCCACACACATCCCGCATCAAGAGTCATCCTCCGGACTCCGGAGGTCCCCAGGACTGCCTTTCCCTTCCCGGTCGGCGGTGATGCTCCCGCAAGGAGCCGACGCCGAGGACCTCGGCACCTGTCGCAGCCAAGCACACTCTTTCCCCCGGCCCTGCGGTCACTCCCCTCGCCACAAACCCCGTCCCACCCGGACTGCCGCTGCGCATGCACGAGTCCCCCAAGGCTTTGGGGCGTGGGTCTGTTGCCTCTGCTTCCGGCCACACCCAGGCTCGGCGTTGGCCATCACCTAAGTGGCGGCTGAGGTCCCGGGAAAGGTGGGAGCGACCGGCAGAGGGCAGGACCGACGGGCATCGCGTAGAACCGGGGCCAAACCGTGTCTTACAGCCTGAGCTCTGAGGGTTGACGCATCTGTCCCTGCTCAGGACTACGCTTCCCAGAAGGCGTTGTATGGGTGCCCCGCCCACTTCCGGCGGCGCTGGCTACACGCTGGGAGTGGGACGGGCCGGGCTGCGCTCCGCTGCGGGGAGGGGCGGGGCGGTGGGGAAAGGCGGAGCGCGGCACGGCCGGGGGCGGGGCGGCTCCGCGGCGCGGCCCCGTGGATGCCCGGGCTTGGGAGAGCGCGCGCAGGGCTGTGCGTTGGGCGTGGCGGGCGGGTGTGGCCAGGGGTGTGGGTCTGTGAGGGACCGGCCGGGAGGGCGTCGCGTGGCCTCGGGTGACATGCGGGGTGCAGCGAGCGCGGGTGTCCGCAAGCCGACGCCGCTCCCGGGGAGAGGCGCCCACCGCACAAAGCCCCGGGCGGGCCGAGGCCCGACTACAGGGACTGCAGCCGCCTTGGCCCTCCCTGCCAGGGGAAGGCCGCGCTCCAGGAATGGCCTCGCATCCAAACGCCAGCGAGCAGCGGCCGCCACGGGTCCTGGGCACAGAGGTGAGAGTGACAGGTGTTTGGGGCCGGGCGGACAGGGACGAATTCATCTCGGGGCGAGATCTGGTAGGGGGTTGGGCCCTCGGGGACTAGATGCCGGAGAACTGTGTCCCTGGTCTTTGAAGCCGGTGGAGCGGGCATCTGAAGATTTGGAAGCCCCAGTGAGTCAGAGCACCGAGTGACGGTAGAAGGAATGTTGACTTGCCGGGGTCACTCTAACTAGACACCTTTCCTGTTTTCGTGCTCCCAGGGAGAAGGTAACCCCTATCTCCACGTTGTGGCAGTCCCTAGGCACCGTAATGACCTGATGCCACCTGCTTATGCAGGAAGGGACGTTTCTAGGCTGGTGATTTAGGGCTGTGGTGTAGACCTGGTCTCTAGCTACTCCTTTCTGTTCCAGCTCTGCCTTCCAGGGACATTGCTCTTCCCCAGGAGAGAAACCAGAAGCTGGAGGCTGCGGGGACAGGAACTGAACCTAAAGCCATGTCCCAGGTGAGCTGGCATTTCATCTCCCATCTCTGAAATTCAGTCTTGCTTCTCAGGAGTTAATGCTGTTGATTTTCTTGAAAGTTTTCAGTGTAAGAGACCTGTTTGGGCACTGGTTTCTGTGTCTTCACATTCTCGTGAGTGATGTTTAAACTGCCCAGGGCCTCCACACCTGCTGCTGCTTCATCCCAGTCAGCCTTCATTCTTGATTGATGAAATGATTCGTCCTTTCCCTTGTACCGCTTTTCCCAGAGGGACTCTGATGGAGAAAATGTATTCCTTGAGGAACACGGGAGACCCTTCTGCTGTACATGGCTTGTTCTGTGACCACTTTGTGCCAGCCACGGGACAAACCAATGGCTAAACCCCGTTCCCTGCTCTCGGAGCTGACAGCTTTTGACCCACAGTCAAGGAAACAAGCAAGATTCTAGACTGTGGTAATCTTTGGGCTAAGTACTACCAGTGACGACTACAAGGAGCTCCTGGCTTCCAGCCGGCTGTAGCGGAAGGGTAGGCTCTTTACCAAGGAGGTGATTTTTGAGCCTTGCTTTGAAGGGAGAGAAGATGTTTCAAAGGCACAATGGAGAAAGACAACATTTTAGGGAGAGGAGGTGCAATGTGAAAGGCTTTCTTTTTCCCACTTAATTTTGTGCCTTTAAAAAATGCTAATAGTTTGTTTCTGTTGACTGTGTCTCATAAATATCATAGCTAGGTCATTAATGGATGAACCATTTCACTTCCACTGGGTGTCAAAAAATATTTGTACGTATGAACCAGTTTCCGGTTGTGCTGCCCAAACTGCTCTTAAGCGGGTTACTGTGGTCTTTGTGTTACCATATTCAGCGCTCAATTCTTAGTCTTTTTTCACCACCGTTATTTGATTTAAAAAATTTTTTTAATTTTTCCTTTTTTCAATGATTGTGCCATGACATCATTGGTATTTGAAATAGCTCAAGTTAGCAAACTTGTGCTGTATGAGGCTACAGTAGAAAATATGGGCCGGGCGCGGTGGCTCAAGCCTATAATCCCAGCACTTTGGGAGGCCGAGGTGGGTGGATCATGAGGTCAAGAGATCCAGACCATCCTGGTCAGCATGATGAAACCCCATCTCTACTAAAATAAAATACAAAAAAAAAATTAGCGGGGCATGGTGGCGCATGCCTGTAGTCCCAGCTACTCGGGAGGCCGAGGCAGGAGAATTGCTTGAACCCGGGAGGCGGAGGTTGCGGTGAACTGAGATCGCGCCATTGCACTCCAGCCTGGGTAACAAGAGCGAAACTCCGTCTCAAAAAAAAAAAAAAAAAAAAAAAAAAAAAAAAAAAAAAAAAAAAAAAAAAGAAAGAAAGAAAGAAAGAAGAAAGAAAAAGAAAGAAAGAAAGAAGAAAGAAAATATGTCAGGCTTTGAAAATCTTTGCTGCAGCTACTCCTTTCTGTTCTTACAGAGCTAAGGCAGCCACAGTCAATATGTAAGTGAGTGGATGGGCTGTGTTCCAGTAAAACTTTGTTTACAAAAACAGGTGGCTGCCAATCCCTGAGCTAGCTCATCCCTGTCAATAGGCCTCCCTTTTTCCCTTGGCTCCCAGGATCCCACACTTATCTGGCTTTCCTCCCATCTTCCTGACTTCTTGGTTTTCGCCACAGTTCTTCCTCATTTCCCTGACCTTGCACAGAGTGCATCTCAGTTCACCGCAACCTCCGCCTCCCGGGTTCAAGCAATTCTCCTGCCTCAGCCTCCTGAGTAGCTGGGACTACAGGCATGCGCCACCATGCCCCGCTAATTTTTTTTTTGTATTTTTTTTTAGTAGAGACGGGGTTTCACCATGCTGACCAGGATGGTCTCGATCTCTTGACCTCATGATCCACCCGCCTACACACAGAGTGTGCCTCAGCGCTCTGGTCTTGGCCCTTGCTTTTTTGTCTGCATGCTGTCTCCTGGGGATATTAGCCTTTGTCATGTCTGTAAAACCTACTCACACGGCGGCTCCTCCCAAATTCGCATTGTGAGCCCAGACGTCTCCTCTGAGCTCCAGGCCTGTGTATCCTGCTCAACTCCTCTGCCCGGGTGTCTAATAGGTAACTCAAGCCAGCCTGTAATAGGTAATAGGTAATAGGTCCTGAGATTCTCCCATAAACCGGCTCCTCCCACAGTTTGGGTCTTAGTGGCCATTTCATCCTCTCAGTTACTCAGTCCAAAAGCCTTGTCATTATTGTCTCATGTCTTTCTCTCTTCTTCCATATTTGGTCCAGTTGTAAATCCTGTCAGTTCTATTTGCAAATTATATGCAGAATCTGGCAATTTTCATCCCATCTATCACCACTAGCAGGTCCAAGTCCTCCTATCTCTTACTATTGGCTTCTTGACTGTGCTTCTGTGACCTCCTGCTTCTGCTCACAGTCCCCACAGCCCCTTCCCAATGCAGCAGCCAGAGGGGGTCTATTCAAACGCGTCACCTTGTATCACGCTCTGCTCAGGAGCCTCCAGTGGTTTCTCTGAATAAAAGCCAAAATTTTTCCTGTGACTGAGCAGGCCCTGCATGACCTGACTTCTTGTTACCGCTGACATGTGTTACATTACTCTCTTTTCTTTCTGAAAAATTGCCTCCTCATTTTCCTGCTCACCCTGTCTAGAATTTCAAAGCCTCCCACTCTAGTTCTTTACATCCCTCTTCCCTGCTTTACTTTTTTTTTTTGAGATGGAGTCTTGCTCTGTCACTCAGGCTGGAGTGCAGTGGCATCAGCTTGGCTCACTGCGACCTCCACCTCCTGAGTTCAAGTGATTCTCCTTCCTTAGCCTCCCTAGCAGCTGCGTTACAGGCACCTACCACCACACCTGTCTAATTTTTGTATTTTTTCTTTTTGTAGAAACAGGGTTTCACCATATTGGCCAGGCTGGTCTCAAACTCCTGACCTCAAGTGATCCACCCTCCACAGCCTCCTAAAGTGCTGGGATTATACACATGAGCCACTGTGCCCAGCCATTGTAGTACTTTTCAACATGCTATACACAGAAACTTTACATATACCAGAATTTGCACATACTCATCAGCCATGTGGAACCTACAGATATGAAGAGTCAGCCCTCAGTGTACACATACCACAAATAATCGTTTTTCTTTTGAGACAGGGTCTTACTCTGTCACCCAGGCAGGAATGCAGTGGCGCATTCATGGCTCACTGCAGCCTTGACCTACCCAGGCTCAAGCAATCCTCCTGTCTCAGGCTCCCAAATAGCTGAAATTATAGACATGTGGCACCACGCCCAGCTAATTTTTGTTTTGTTTTCTAGAAATGGGCTTTTGCCATGTTGCCCAGGCCAGTCTTGAACTCCTGGCCTCAGGCAACCACCCGCCTTGGCCTCCCAAAGTGCTTGGATTACAGGTGTGAGCCTCTGCACCTGGACAATAATTGTATTTTCAATCTGCATTTGGTTGAAAAAAATATCGCATGTAGGTGGACCCTTGCAGCTCAGAACCATGTTGTTCGAAGGTCAAATGGGTTTTACTTAATTTATCTCGTTTTCTCTTGTCTCATTCCCTTACTTCATAGGCAGGGATTTAGAGCAGTTTTGCCCCAATGTCTGATACAGAAAATATTTGGAGGGTGAATGTTCGAATATGGTCTTTTTAAGTGCTCTTGTGGCCACTGTTTTGATATTTGGTAGAGCGTTCGAATAATCATTTTTATATCTGAAAATGTGCTTCATCCCTGATTTTGTTTTTTTTTTTTTTGTTATTTTATTTTATTTTTTTAGAGACAGGGTCTCACTCTGTCACTCAGGCTGGAGTACAGTGGCACAGTCATAGCTAAGTGCAGCCTAGAACTCCGGGCCTCAAGCAATCCTCCCACCTTGGCCTCTCAAGGAGCTGGGATTGTAGGTGTGATCTGCCAAGCCTCTGATTATTTTGTACGAATACATTCCTAGAAGTTTTTCTTTCTTCATAGATTAAGGCTTCCTAAGTTTATGTGAAACCAGAATACTTCTAAAATTGTTTTTGGATAGAACAGGAGTGGTACCTCAAAAGCATTCATGGTTTGAAAAAATAAAAACTTCATCAAGAAAAATGTTAGTACTAAATAAATGTTTATTCATATGTTTTAAACATTAACTGAATTGAGTTGAAACAAATCTTTTTAGAGTATTTTTTCTATAATGTACTTTCTTTTCATTCATTTCTATGAAATTTCAAAATTCAAAGATTTTTCTGTATGTCTAAAGTTGCTTTTATTTTTTGTTGGTTTGTATGCTTTTAATGTCTGTGTGTGTGTGTGTGTGTCTGTGTGTCTGTGCAGACACACAGACACACACACACATAAGTTTTTTAAAAGAGATGGGGACTCACTGTTTTGCCCAGACTAGAGTATATTGGCCATTTGAAGGCACAGTTATACTGTACTACAGCCTCAAACTCCTGGGCGCAAGGAATTCCCCTGCCTCGGCCTTCTGAGTAGCTGGGCCTGTAGGCATATGGCACCGTGCCCAGTGCATATGTATATTAAGATGAGTTAAGTCACATCAGATGGCTATATCAGGAGTAGGTTCTGTCCCGCATAGTGTTTTCTCTGTGGTATGCTGTAAACATGTGAAATCTAGTTTGAAGTCTGCATGTTTATGTTGTAGCAACAGGAATAAGGACACGACTGCACATTTGGGAGTGTTTTGTTTCCACCTGAATTAAGCAGGTTGATCCAGACATCCGTTAGAGGAAGTTGGTTTTATTTTTATCTGAAAATGTGTTTTCTACTGGAACTTGTTTCACTGGCAGGGTGAATGGATCCTAAGTATCACTGCTATTATCGGGGTGGAACCTTTTAATAGAAGTCGAGTGGCTAAGTGATCGAAGGTCATGCGCTGGGCTCACAGGCTAGCTCTGGCATCTAATCACTGCGGAAGCTTTAGGCAACTTAAGTGACCGATGTTCTTCATCTATAAAATGAAGAAAATAATTGGACCTCCCTCACGCAGTTCTTGCAAGGATTAAGTTAATATGTGTACAGTTCCTGGAAAAAGGTACGTGGCACATAGTAAGGACTTAATGGTGTTAGCTGGCAGCATCCTCATGTCATCATGATGGTTTTAGAAATTTACAAGACCCTTAGATTGTATATGTTTGTTTTTTTTTAAAGTGTGTAATATAGGACAGATCTTGCCAAATTATGGCATATGAGTCAAACCCAGCCCACCACCTCTTTTTCTTTGGGCCAGAAGCTACTTTTTCAGTGGTTGTAAAAGATGAAAAGAAGAACAATACATAAATATTAAATGAAACTCACATTTTGGTATCCATAAAAAAGTTTCACTGTAGTACAACATCCTTGTTTATGTATTATCTGTGACTGCTTTTGCACTACCACGGCAAAACTGAACAGTTGTGGCCGAGGCCGTATGGTCCACAAGCCTAAAATATCTACTTTCTGACTCTTTACAGAAAAGCTTTGCCAATACCTGAAGTAGAGGTTAAGAGCATGGACTGTGGAGTCAGATTCCTAGCTCTACAGTTGACTGACTGTGATCCTGGGCAAATTACAGCTCAGTATGTCCTCATCTGTAAAATGGGAATAGTAATAGTGTTGACTATTAGGGTCGTTGTGAGGATTAAATATGTAAGTATATAGAATTGCATCTGAAGGGTTGTAAGTGCTTTCAGCTATTGTTATTGCTGTTATTTACAGTAAAAGACTTGTTTAAACAAAAGTCATGATCCTGTACATAAAGAGCTGTCTGAATAAACAGAAAATGTCTGAGGAGGATATATGTATATTGCTAATGTTGGGTCACGCTGCACGATTAAACCGAAGGCATTTAACTACTGGTACAAAAGCAGATCACTAATGCATAAACATGGTCAGTCTGGGACACAAGAGTTGAGCTTCCTTGTCAGGCAAGTAAGTCCCTTTGTTTTCATGCTAAGATGCTTCAACTTGCAAAATCACTGTTGTAGACTAGCTTTCTCAGCTAGGCATATTAGTGTGTCTTCTGCTCAAGGACATGAAGCAGTTCTTGGCTGTTGCTAGTAAGTCTTAAGCTGTGGTTTACACTGCAGGGGCCTTTCAGTCTCCAGCTCAGGAGATTTCTCCATCATGAATCTACCATCAAGAGCGTGCTCTGCAGTCGATCTTCACTGAAACCAGGGTATCACTTACGAAACCCTTTTGACCTATCTTTACACAATTCAGTTAAATGTGTCCTTAAAGTTTGGTAGCGGGTTAAAGAATGCATGATTGTATATTACTCAGCAGATACCACACCTCAGAGAGACTTTTGTTTCTAGTAGAATCATGTGACTCTTTAAAAGGTGCAGCTCTTGGTTGGTGTCGTGGTTGGTTAAGTGAGGTATTTGAATTAGGTTTCATGTAGTCAGATGCCACATGGTGAGGGACACTCAGATCAGAATGGCAAAAAGATTGTTTATTCACAGATTCCAGAGAACGGTGGCCAGCACAGCTTGCTCAGAGTGCTCATAGGAAGGGCTGAGACATTCAGGACACACATATCCAGCCAAAGGGTGGGGACCTCTGGGCTGGAGCCTTTACTGGGGTCCAGGGCATTATCTAGGTGAGTTTCCCGAGACAGGGCTGGATGGGATAGTTTGAAGGGAGCTCAACGCTCAATAAGCCAACTTGAAGGTTACATTATCAGGTTCACCAGGCTTAATGCAGAAGTACATTGGTCAAGTGGTTCATAGTATGGGGCCTTGTCTATGTAGAACACACAAATGGGGACTGGGTGAGGACTGCCTGAAAAATATGTAGGTCAAGGGTGACAAGCAGACACAGCATTCAAATGAATGACAGTCAACATCATTGTAAGTGATGGTCATTGCATGCTTCTATTGTGCCTTACACGTTCTAAGTGCTGTATAGGTATTGCCTCATTTAATTAAAACGTAATCTATAAGGTTGGTGTTGTTGACTTTTTCATTTTATCTCTGGGGAAGTGAGGCACAGAGGCATTAGGTAACCAAGTGAGGTTCCAGAGCTGGTGAGTGCTGGAATTGTAATTTAGCTTTTGGGGTAGTCTAACTGTTTTACTTGTTCATTTCACTTTAGACTTTGAAAATCCCGTAGCTATTAGTCATTTAAATCTGCCTTCTGTTAGCCACAGGTTCCTGGGATTAGAGTTGTAACTGAGTAAATGTTTAAAATACATTGGAACATGTCAGAGTTGTAGGCTGAAATTGTAAAACTATGCTCCATAAAAATCTGCCAGCAGGAGCTGAGCAGCCCCATCTTGCCAGTGAGACAGGAAAATCCTGCTCGTGCCAAGCTGTTAGCAAATGTGCTCCTGATAGGCCCTCATACTGCCTGACTTCTCCAAGATAACGCCTTGGTTCTTAAAGGTGTTTCATTAATTAAAGACATTACAGTGTTTTTCATTCTTACTACACATTTATTTCAGAAAAGAAATATTGCTAGATTCTTTTTTAATAAACCTCTACTGAACACTAACAGTGAAATTAGAAATTTTTTTTTTTTTTTTTTTTTGAGACCGAGTTTCACTCTTGTTACCCAGGCTGGAGTGCAATGGCGAGATCTCGGCTCACCGCAACCTCCGCCTCCTGGGTTCAGGCAATTCTCCTGCCTCAGCCTCCCGAGTAGCTGGGATTACAGGCACGTGCCACCATGCCCAGCTAATTTTTGTATTTTTAGTAGAGATGAGGTTTCACCATGTTGACCAGGATGGTCTCGATCTCTTGACCTCGTGATCCACCCGCCTCGGCCTCCCAAAGTGCTAGGATTACAGGCGTGAGCCACTGCGCCCAGCCCTATTGATGCTTTAAGGTTCATTTCCAGTTTATTGCCCATTCTTGTGCTGTCCCCGGCCACTCAAATGTCACCATGTTGGACAGTGCTATAGGACCTGTTGTGCATAGTCTTTGTTATTTATAGTTTTGAATTGATGTCAGGGGTTTTTCTTGTGGTTGCCTCCTTTCACGTCCACAAAACTGTAAGTTCTCCTAAGGCAGGGGCTATCTCCATATTTTCCCCTTTTCCCTGGAGTTTAAGACAGATTAAGGCTAGATATACAATACCTAACCAGGTCTCGACGGCACTGAATTTATAGTCTCTTAGTAAAAAGGAAGACAGGGAATCTTTAGACCACTATATTAGTTTCTTAGGGCTGCCAGAACAAATACCACAGAGTGGGTGTTTTAAACAACTGAAATTTCTTTTCTCAAAGTTCTGGAGTTTTCTCAAGGTTCTGGAGCCTGGAAGTCCAAGATTAAGGTGCCTGCAGGTCTGGTTTCTCCTGAGGCCTCTCTCCTTGGCTTGCAGCGGGCCATCTTCTCCCTGCATCTTCACGTGACCTTTTCCCTGTGCCTGCACGCTGTGGTATCTCTTCCTCATTTAGTAAGACACCAGTCAGATTGGATTAAGGCCCCACCTGTGTGACCGCATTTAACGTTCATCATCTCTTTGAAGGCTCTGTCTCTAAATACAGTCACATTTGAAAGAACTGGGAATTAGGACTTTAATGTGGGAGTTTTGTGGGGGAACACATTTCTTTCTTATAACAACCCCCTAGTCATATGTGGGCATGAGCGCTGGTTGAGCAAGAACATGGTTATATCATTTCAGGGCTTGGTGACATTTGGGGATGTGGCCATAGATTTCTCCCAAGAGGAGTGGGAGTGGCTGAGTCCCGTTCAGAGGAACCTGTACAGGAAAGTGATGTTGGAGAACTACAGGAACCTGGCATTGCTGGGTAAGGGCTCCCAACCCTTTTCCCCACCCTTCACCCTCCCCACTTACTTAACTAAGAAGCCTTTCATGCCTTTATCACCAAGACCTGCACTTCCCTCTTCTGTCAAATCAAGGGGACTGCATCTCAGTCTGGACAACCCCACAATATGACCAGGTTGTTTCTTATGTGTCTAGGACTTTGTGTTTCTAAGCCCGATGTGATCTCCTTGTTGGAACAAGGAAAAGAGCCTTGGACAGTGAAGAGAAAGCTGACAAGAGCCGGGTGCCCAGGTGAGTGTGAGACAACCAGGTAGGGTGAGGCCACCGCTAGTCATAGCTCAGCTGCCTCAGACACGCAGCATCTTCAGCAGACTCTTCCCAAGCCTCTTGCAGTATCTCTTATTTATACTATTTGGGAATACAGAAATTTCAAACATAGCGTTATTTCCAGAACAAATTATCAAGAAAGACAGGGAATCAGAATGACAGATTTTTTCAGAGGTTTTTTTTAATCATAATGTACATTTTTATTTGTATAGAACCCACTAAATTAGGTTTAAATAATATTACATAATTGTTCACATACACAGATGGGCAGAAGCAGTAACTATGGAATTTATTAACCAGAAAATTCTTAGAGTTTTGTTTAGACATTTTAAAGGGGAAAGTGTCTGATCCCCTGAGGATTAAATATATAACCTGTCCACCTCATAGGATTGTCATAAAGATTAAATGAGATCACAGAGGTAGAAATGCTTCATAAACCAAAATTTCTTATACACATATGAAGCAGTGTGATTCATTCTTCTTACCCATTAGAAGTTTAGGGTCCTAAAGCTTTAAGACACAGACAACAACATCTGGTTCAACTATGAGCACCGCTTAGTGAAATCTAAAATTGTTTTCACCTGCGGCAAATCCAGAACTCTTTCTAGTAATTGCTGTTGGTTAATAGGAAAGAAGTATAGTGCTGGGGTACGTCTCTGCAACACCTCATTATTATTATAGCCATTCAGATATTACAAACTTGCTTTCCTTTCTTATACACTAAAATTCACTCCTCCCTTCTATTTTCTATACTGAACATTTTGAGTCTTAAAAAAAAAAATCTAGCAAATTTAAATGCATTCACAAAACAAATACGACACGCATTTTTTAAATCTGGAAATCATTTTGACACATTGCAAAATAAGGGTTTTACTCATCATCTTTTTAATAAAATTCTCTAACATATATGCAAATTCCCTCTCTTTAAAATATACAAAAAGAACCCTTATATTTCAGGTAGCTTTCTCTAATTCATAGACCAAGGAAACCAGCTCTCTTTTGCTATATTTATATAAGTAGGTTGATTATGTTTCCCTTACCTCCTTTATTTGAGAAGAACTTCTTGAAGAGGACAGTTCATCATTTAATATGTATTACATAATAATGCATTGCAAGAACTCTGTGAATATAAACTTGCTGACTATGCCAAATGTTTCTTGCTTATTCTGGGTGGTTGCTCTTTCATTTTCTATTATATTTGATAAACTAAGTCAACCTCACGTTGTGAAAATGGAGGCAGCCTGGCATACCACAAGAGCATAGGCTTCAGAGATGAAGATCTCATTTGGAATCCTGGCTCTCCCACTACTACTTGGATTACTTTGGACAAGTTAGTCACTTTGGCCTTATTAATTTCCTAATCTTTACAACGAGGATACTACCACTTCCATCTACAGGTGCTGAGTTAGATAATGAATTATGTGATGAGGCCGGAATATGGCTGGAATATCACAGAAGCTCTAGGATATTAGTTCCTTCCTTTCCAGCAAGAACTCTTCAATGTCCATTCTCTATTCTCAGTACTACTTATAAAATGTTTCCCTTCAGACCAACCCACCCAGCACCCCACCATCAATGCCAGCTCCTGCATATACTACCCAGGGACCTGATGACCATCACACCCTGACCACTGCCACCAGCCAAGGGCAAACACATACCACCCACGGGCTGCAGCATCAGCCTGCCTGGCATCCACATCATCAGAAAAGCCTTGCCATGGCCTTTGCTAACAACCTAAGTCACTGAGGAACTCACAGACACCACTGGCATTGATTACAGCCAAAGAAATAATACCGAGACTAAACTACTGCACATATCCAAAATCAAAGGGAAAGCACCCTAACCAGACAACACTATAGACAGATTTACAGGAAAAAAGTCTTTACCTACAAAAGCCAATGCATAAAACTGGAATAACCAACTGTTCCACCATATACACAGATATCAACGTTGAGACATAAAAAACATGGAAATGCGAGGAAACATGAAACCTCCAAAAGGACACAATCATTCTCCATTAACAGACCTGAAAGAAAAGGAAATCAATGAAATGTCTGAAAAAGAATTTGAAATAATGATCTCAAGGAAGCTCAATAAGATACAAAATAACACAGACAGTACAAAGAAATGAGGAAAATAACTTGTCATCTGAATTTTATGTATATATATATATATATATATATTTTTTTTTTTTTTTGAGACGGAGTTTTGCTCTTGTTACCCAGGCTGGAGTGCAATGGCGCGATCTCGGCTCACCACAACCTCCGCCTCCTGGGTTCAGGCAATTCTCCTGCCTCAGCCTCCCGAGTAGCTGGGATTATAGGCACGCGCCACCGTGCCCAGCTAATTTTTTGTAATTTTTAGTAGAGATAGGGTTTCACCATGTTGACCAGGATGGTCTCGATCTGTTGACCTCGTGATCCACCCACCTCGGCCTCCCAAAGTGCTGGGATTACAGGCTTGAGCCACCACACCCGGCCCAATATATATTTTTTTAAAAAGACAAGGTCTCACTATGTTGCCCTAGCTGTACCCCAAAATCTAACTCAAACTCCCATACACAAGCAATACTCTCACCTCCTGGGTAACTGGGACTACAGGTACATACCACCACACCCAGCTCTGAATAAGAAATTTAATAAAAAGATAGGTATAATTAAAAAGAATCAAACAGAAATCCTGGAAATTAAGAATTCAATAAATGAAATAAAAAACATACAACCAACATTTCAATAGGCTAGATCAAGCAGAAGAAAAACTTTCTTAACTTGAAGACAGGTCTTTTGAAATAACCCCATCTGATAAAAATAAAGAAAAGGGAATAAAGAAAATAGAGCCTACAAAACATATGGGTTACTATTAAGCAAATAAACAACTGTATCTTCAACATTTCAGAAAGTGAAGAGATGGGAAAAGGCACAGAAAACTTACTTAATGAACAAATACAAGTAACAAATTGGAAACCCTAAAGGAAATGGATATATTCATGGACACATACAACTTACCATGATTGAACCAGAAATAAATAGAAAATCTGAATAGATTAATAACAAGTAACCAGACTGAATCATAATAAAACGTCTCCTAATGAAGAAAAGTCCAGGACTGGACAGCTTTACTAATAAATTCTACCACACCTTTGAAGAAAAATTAATTTTAATTCTCAAATTATTCCAAAAAATTGAAGAGAAAGAGAATTCTTCCTAACTCATTCTACAAGGAATTTTTGAATATTCCCAACACAAAGAAATGAAAAAATGTTTGAAGTGGTAAATACTCTGATTACCCTGATTTGATCATTACACACTGGACACTTGGATCAATATATCACTCAGTGCTCACTAAATATAAGCCATTATTATAAGGGAATAAAAATTAAATAATCTAAAATTTAAATAAATATATTTAAAATTAATGAAATTTAATTTAATTTCTTTCAGAGGTCTTATCCTAATAGGAAACGATTTCTAAAGAATTGGGAATCTTACAAGGTTTCTTTGTTCAATTCATACTTCCAAGGAAACAGCTGCATTGACAGCAGGACAAGTTACTGACATCTGTAAAGTGACTCACGTGGGTCATCATACGGCCTAAGAGAACAAGAATATTTCTGTGAAAGTTTCCACTTTAACATCATATTGAATCACACACTTTGAACTAGTTGAATGAGATAGAACTGTTTTTCCTTCCTGCAGACCCTTCATCTCTTATTGAGACTAGTTAATTATGAAATACTAACATTTTTAAGGCCAGGATCTGGACTTTTATTAGTTAGCATTGTAATAAAAAAAAAAAGGAGGTATGTAGAGATAGAGATGAAATTTTTGCTAGATGAATGGAGAATGAGTGAAAAGGAGTTGTCTTAAAGCTGAAATAAGAATCACATAGCAGTTTTCTTCTGTACCCTCCACTTCCTCTTTGTATTAGACATTTTATCTTACATTTAAGTCTTTGTGAGCTCCTTATCTCTTGATTTTTAATTTCTTTTTCCAATTTTCTGTTAAAAACATAATGTGAACTTGTTCAACTTTTAGGTGGGAAAGGTCTTATTCTGTCCTTTAGGACTATGGCTACACAAATTTAGGAATGTAGGCTTGGTTGAATATTTCTACTAATATAAGAAAGCTTTCAAAATGATAAGCTTTTCATTGTCTTCCATAAAAATAAAAGACTATGATAAGGTTTTTTTTCGTGGCTTTCAGTTTAATGGTTACATTTTGGAATTTTTCTTCATACTTGCCCATAATAAAAGATATGTTTGCCTTCTGAATATCTTTCAGATTTGAAGGGCGTGCAGAAGATCAGGGAGTTACCTCTCAAGAGGGACTTCTGTGAAGGAAAGCTACCCCAGGCAGTGATGACAGAGAGGTTCACAAGCTATAGTCTGGAGTATTCTCTATTAGGGGAGCACTGGGATTGTGATGCTCTGTTTGAGACACAGCCGGTAAGTCAGAAGACAAATTTCAGGCAAGAGGAAATATCTTCCATGAGGAAACTCTTCTTGAGGAAAAAGACCATGACTACAATAACTATAGGAGAAGTCTTCATTTGAATACAGTGCCTCTTACAGACAGATTATCCCCTCAGAACAGAGAGCACCCAATCTTGATACACATAGGAAAAGTGGAGGGGGACACTGAGTTATCATAAATTACAAACACATCTGTCAAGGTCAGAAATGTTTGACTTGTGATGAATGTAAGAAAACTTTGAGCAGAATATCACCCCCTCCTTTTCATCAAAGATTTCATACAAGAGAAAAACCCTGTGGACTTGTTGAATAATTTGTGTGAATATGGGAAAGCCTTCAGTCTGTGTTTAAAAGTTTATACTGTGTGTAAGTGCACCCGCCTCTACAAAATGACAAATTCTCCACAGTAGAAAGTTTCTCCTATTTTTCTGTTTTCCCCCAAGCATATATGCTATAACTAAGCCCTGTCACATGTAACCTGGTGTACCAGAACTTCAGTTGCAGTTCTTGGTACGGAGTGCGTTTTTTGCAGTGTGTGGACATGATCCACCCCACTGGGACCAGGTGGGTTCACAAACATGGTTTCATTTAAAAAATGTGCTTTTACCATTGCAGGGGTTGGTGACTATGAAAAATCTGGCTATTGACTTTCCCCAGCAGCTACACCCAGCTCAGAAGAATTCCTGTAAGAATGGGTTATGGGAGAACTATAGTGACGTGGGATCGGCAGGTATGATGTCCCTCTCCCATATCTGAATCTGTCATTGGGAACGCCCCCCTTTTTTATTTTTATTTTTTGAGATGGAGTTTCGCTCTTATTACCCAGTCTGGAGTGCAATGGCGCGATCTCGGCTCACTGCAACCTCCGCCTCCTGGGGGAACCCCCATTTTTAAACTTCAGTTTTGAATGACGGAGGCGGGAAGGGGTGTCTTCTGAAGTGCTGGCCTGAGTTTTTGTTGTGCATTCCCATGATAAGAGTGACATTTGTGGAGGTGAAAGTTGGTGTCTTTGTTACGTTTGAAGCATTCTCTTCTGTGTCTTTCAGATCCTACTCACCTGTTTTTCTGCTTCTTCCAGCAGTAACATTTTTCTATCAGTAAGGGAGTGGTTCTCAATTTTAGGATGCCAACAGTATGACCAAAGTTCATCTCTTTTCACTTTTGCAGGACATTGCATGGCGAAGCCAGATTTAGTGTCTTTACTAGAGCAAGAGAAGGAGACCTGGGTGGTGAAACGAGAGCCGACAGGAAGCCTGTTCTCAGGTGAGTGCAACAGAGCCTGGTGTGGAAACCCACCGCAAGACAGAGCACAGCTTTTAATAAAAAGGTTGCATCCTCACTAATACACAGTAGGAAACTTTACTAGGCTCTCTGGGTCTGGAGAGAAAATGAACTCTCGGATTTCCAAATAATTCTTTCCTTTCTTCTTTGCCCCCTTCTCTCCAGTAACTCCCAGTTCCCTGAAATTCCTTCTTTTCTTGGCCACTGGGACATGTATCATCCTCTCACTTCCTTAAATGATCTTTTCCTGACCCTGATGGACTTTTGAGCTGACTTCCAAAGGTTTTCTCTTCTATGGTTAAATGGCCTATTGTTTTCGTCATGCATCCATTCCTGTAAGAACTACAAATTAAAAGTTATGTGACTGAGCTGCTCTGCTGAGTATTGGCAGGTGATTGGAAAAAGGGAGAATAATTACTCATAAATGTAAGCCATCAGTGAATTACTCTAATGGAAAGGATAAGACGTGTTTATGGATAGCTTGCATGGAATAGAGTTTGCCGAATTTCAAATAGGGCCTTACAGAGACAAAGGAGATGTCATTCCCAACGGCTGCTATGTTTTAGTAGTATAGGTGGGCAGAAGTTAAATTGCAAGAAGGTGGAAGTAAAGGGTCTTTTCCTCTTGGTACATAAGGGAAAGAAAAGAAATTTCCATAGAAAATAATGCTTGGTAAAAAATATAATTATTTACTTTGTGGCAAAAGAATTTAAACAATGACCTTATTGCAACATACATGTTTGACCCATTTAAGTTAGGATAAATTCTACACATTTTTCACATAGTAGAAATTATTACAGTGTACATTCAGTTATGCATACAAGTGTTTTTCATGTGCATTCTGTTATATACCATTGCTCAGTTAGGTTGCTTTACATTTCTTAGTATTAAAGATACAATAGTCTTTTTAATTCAATGAAAACTACGCGTTTTGGGGATTGCTCTATTCCTGGATATGAGCACCTGCTAGGCTCTGAAAGTTTTGTTTGTTTTTGGTGACTAACAATAATTAGATATATGAGTTTAATTGCATCTTGAAAGCATTGGGTATTTCATGAAAACGTTTGCTCATTATTTGTTGAAAGATTATAGACAAAAATTACTCTTTTGTATGAAAGAAGTTGAACACTTTCCCATAAATTTGGTTTTTCTCTTATCTTTTTGTAAAATATCTGTCATTTGTGGCCAGTTCTCTCTGTGTGTTAAATATTTTCTTAACAGTCTCAGTGATTGCTATGTATATAAGCATACTAATTCTCTGATATATTGTCTCAAACTATTTTTCACATATGGCAATAAGTTTTTATTTTAATTAGGTCTTTTAAAATTATGACGTGAAATTTTACAATTTCTATAAAGTCCAGTATATTATTTCTAATGTGATTTCTCCTATTTGTGTGCCTAACAACTTGACACATACATTTCTACTTCATTTTTAATGACTGTTTAGTATTGTAATATATGAATATACATAATTTATTTAAATTGTTTGCTGTTAGGATATTTAAACATTTAGGTCTTCTCCGGTTTTTACCAACAGTGGTCCAGTCTGAGCATACCTTCTTGCTTACATGTCAGAATATTTCTTGAAGATATATGCTTGGAAATGAATTTGTATGGTCTAAGTATATATATTTTTTAAGTGTCATGGATATTTTGCTGTGCCATTGGTAAAGAGTGTATGAGAATACCGTTTCTAGACATCATCACCAATATGGGTGTTTTATAGTTTTAAAAAATTTTGCCAAGCTGCTGGATGAAAAATAATGTTTTATTTAATTTTCATTTCTCCAGCTACCACAATATTGAGAATATGTGCATTTAAATCTGTTTAGAGTTTGTATTCTATCCATAGTGTGTTTATACTCATTACTCACATTTCTATTAGGTTGTATATTTTCCCGTATTTATGCAGCATTGATATAAATGCTTTTTATATAAATTTGATAAAACTTTTCCCCAGTTTTGTGTGGTCTAGAAGTTTGTATATGGCATTTCTCACTATATAGTAGCTTAACTTGGGAGTTATCTTCGTTTATAGAAGCATTTACTTTGTTGATTTTTTTTTGTTTTACTCTTAGCTTTTTAAAAATGAAGAGATGTATAGTCCCATTTGAATCATATAATACATTTGTTTGACCTTCTGTAACTTAACGATTTCTCTCTCCTTTATCCCCTTCCTTCCTTTTCTTTTTTCCTTTTCATTTTTCCCTTCTTCCCTTATTTTTCTACTATTCTGTATTTTGCTGTGGTCTGTTTTTTTGTTTGCTTGTTTTATTTACCTTTTTTTAAATAGAAAAGTATATGTAAAATTTAACCATTTTAAAGTGTATAATTCATTCCAGTGACAGTACATTCATGATACTGTGCAAATCTCATCACCATCTAGTGAGAGAAATTTTTCATCATCCCAAAAGGAAGCCCCATACCCTTCAAGCAGTCACTGTCCCTATGGATTTTCCTGTTCTGGATATTTTCTATAAATGAAATCATACAATAAGTGACCTGTTATGTTTGACTTCTTACACATAATATAATGCTGTTTCAGATTCAGGGTTCATTCATGTTGCAGCATGTATGAGTACTTCATTCCTTTTTATGGCTGAGTAATATTCCATTGTATGGATGTGCTACATTTTGTTTATTCAGTCATCTACTGATGGATATTTGGGCAGTTTCCATCTTTTGCTACTGTTGCTAGTGCTGCTATGAGCACTCATTTACGAGTTTTTTTTTAACTCCTGATTTCAGTTCTTTGAGGTATATACCTAGGAGTGGAATTGCTGTGTCATTTGATAAATCTGTGTTTAACGGTTTGAAGAACTGTCACCTGCATCATAGTTGTGCTGTTTTTTATATTCTCACTGAAATGCACAAGTATCGCAGTTTCTGGACTCTCAGTTCTATTCCATTGATCTCTAGGTCTGTCCTTGTGGCAATACCTCATTGTGTTGATTTTAGTAGCTGTGTTGTAAATATTCACATCAGGAAATGTATTTCTTCAACTTTGTTCTTAATTTTCAAATTTTCAAGATTGTTTTGGCTATTCAAGGGTCCTTGCCATTCTATAGGAACTTTAGATTCAGCTTTTTTATTTGTGAAAAATGGCCATTGGCATTTTGATATGGATTGCATTGAATCTGTTTATTGCTTGGGGACTATTACCATCTTAACATTGTTGTCTTCCTATCCATGAACATAGAATATCTTTCCATTTATTTAGATTTCCTTTAATTTCATTCAGCAATGTTTGCACTTCCTTGGCTAAATTTATTCCTAAATACTTTCTCTTAAGTATTTCCTAATGTTTTAATGCTATTTTTATGAAATTATTTTTATAATTTGATGAGGAATTGTTGATTTATAGTTTGTAGAAATAGAGCTGATTTTATGTATTGATCTTGTGTCATGCAGTTTTGCTGAACGTATAAATTAGCTCTAATGCTTTTTTTTGTAGATTCTTTAGAATTTTCTATGTATAAGATATGTCATCTGTGATTAGAGACAGTTTTATTTCTTCCTGTCTAAGTTGGATGCCTTTTATTTCTATTTCTAATTGCTCTGGCTAGAACATACAGCATAGTTTTGAATAGAAGTCATAAATGCAGGCATCTTTGTCTTTTTACCCATCTAAGGTGGAAAGCTTTCAGTGTTTAGATGTAATTTTAAAAAGACTTTCTCTTTTCTTATTTAACATATTTTTCCAAACATTTGACTCTATGCATCACTTCCTTAAATCTGATTTCATCTGTCTATCTATCTATCTATCTAGAAATAATTATATGTGCACAAAATTCTGGCAAAATACTTCAGGCATAAATCACTGCTCCTCCTCCTCCTCATAAGCATATTGCCTGAAATTAGTTCATACTTGTTCAATAGTGTATATGAATGTAATTAAATATAATATTAGTATTCAATATTATTATATCAAGTCTCTTCAAAAAATGAAATAATATGATCATCTCAATAGATGCAGAAAAGCATTTAACAAAAGTCAACATCATGATAAAAACTCTCAACACACTGGGTATGGAAGAAACATATGTCAATACAGTAAAGGACATGTATGACAAAACTACAGTTAACATCATATTCAATGGTAAAAAGTGAGAAACTTTTCCTTTAAGATGAGGAACAAGACAAGGATGCTCATTCTGACCACTTTTATTCAATGTATTGCCGGAAGTTCTAGTTAGAACAATTAGGGAAGAAAAGAAATAGGCATACAAATCAGAAAAGAAGTAAGATTGTCTCTCTTTACAGATGACATGATTCTCTATGTGGAAAACCTGAAGAACTTCACCAAAAACCTGCTAGAACTAATAAGGGAATTCAGCAGAGTTGGAGGATACAAAATCAGCATATAAAAATCAGTTGAATTTCTATACACTAAAAAATAACTATCCAAAAAAAAATTAAGAAAACAATATCATTTATAATAGCTGCCCCAAAAAACAAATGTAATCAATTTATCAAATAAATGGATAATTTCTTTCATTAATGTTTCAGCTGTACACTGAAAACCATAAAACAATAATGAAAGAAACTGAAAAAAATATAAATCAATGGAAAGATGTCCTGTGTTCATGGATCAGAAGAAATAATACTCTCAAAGTGTCAATGTTACCTGAAGTGGTCTATAAATTCACTGCAGTCCTTATCAAAATTCTAATGGCATTTTTCACAGAAATAGAAAAAACAATCCTAAAATTTACATAGAGCTCCAAGAGATCCCAAGTAGCTAAAGCAATCTTGAGCAAGATGATGAACACACTAGAGGCATTATATTATGCTTACTGAGTTTGAATTATATTGGAAAGCCATAGTAACTAAAACAGTATGGTATTGGCATAAAAACAGACACGAAGATTGGTGGAACAGATTAGAAACCCTAGAAATAAACCTGTGCATATAAGGACAACCAATCTTTGACAAAGATGCAAAGAATACACAATAGGGAAAGGATAGTGTCTTCAACATATGGTATTAGGAAAATCAAATATTCATGTGCAAAAAAAATTGAAATTGGACCCTTATCTTATACAGAAGTCAACTAAAAGTATATTAAAGATTTAAACGCAAGCACTAAAACTGTAAAACTAGGTAAA